CCATGCATGATCTATACCATGTGTCATGAAGCTTGGGTTCCCTTTTTGAAATGGTGCACCATGCATAGGATTCATAGCAGGACAGGGCTTTGCTGACATCTGCCTCAACCCGATTCATGGTGGCAGACCATTTACAGTGAAAGACTTTCCTCTGTTATACTTCAGTATGTTTCCTTCTCTTTAGTTTTAGGGTTTTTTTTTTTCTTCCTGTTAGAGGAAGAAGGATTCTTCGCTGTTCCAAGAATAATTTCTTTTCCCACCCTTGACCTAATGAAGGCGATGATGATGATGATGGTGGTGGTGATGGTGATGTATAGTCTCTGTGCAGTTTATTTTTCTCTTACATAGATTTCATGTGGGGCACTCTATCTGGAAGCAATTTCTTGGTCTCTCCTAAGATTCTGCTGAGTGGTTTGGATGTGGCCAGTTTGTGTTCTGGCCGCTCTTCTGCTGCCTGAGGGTGGACTGAGGTCTGGACGTGGAGTGCAGTCAGCGGGTGCTGTGAGCAATCCTGTTTTGCAGACTTTTGTATCTTTTTTTTTCCTAATTTAATCTCTTTTCTACTTTTATTATATTTTTCTGAAGTGTGCTAATGCCTTCCAGCCATCCCTTTCTTCCCACCAGGATGTTTAGCCCCCCGTTCTGTCCTCTCTGCTGTCCCCATTCCCCTTGCAGCTGCCACTGTCTCACCCCTCAGCCAGACGGGGGCAAGTCAGAGCAGTCAATGAATCCTTTCCAAAAATGGGTTTCTGTGAGCCTTGTCCCCCCCCGCCGCCCCCGGCTCTACCTTCTGTTTTGGTTGTCTTCTCTGTACCCCGTTGGTAAGGGAAAGATCTCCATCCTTGGCTTATGAGAGTGGCTGAACATACAGCACCCAACACTGGACAGGTAAAATTGACAGCATTTATTAGTCACATGTCCTCACAGCCCGGAGAGGAAGACACTGCATGCCACACAGGGCCACATGTAGGCTACTCTTGGGAACAGGGTAAGCAAGCAGGGTCTGCAGGCTTCGTAGTATTAAGAGGGTGGGCTGTCCCCCGACTCCCACAGGAGTAGGTGATTGGCTTTTTGAATAATTCCATGGGCTGGCAGGGAACTGAAATACTACTCAGAGATACACAAGAACTGTCTTCTGGATAAGGAGGGTTGTTTGGCCTCTGCAGGAGCATGGCGGGGAGAACTTACTATTAGCCATCTGATTTCACCAGATTTCCATGCAGTTTATCATATTGAGCCCTAATTTCCGTCTCATACCACACAAACACCCCCACCCCTAACTAGGAATTCTCATTATTCTGGGCTTATTTTATTTATTTTCTCTTTTATGTTTTTTATCCTTATGTTCCATCGTTTACCTTCTTCCAAACTAGAGGAAAAATATGGTGAGTTTTCACAGACCTTGTTCTCTCTCAGTATATTATAGAGGGACTTCTATTTTAGAAAGGTTTGTTGCGTTCTCCATGAGTAGATTTTTAAATTGGACTACAGACATTGCATCAGGCAAGCAGAGGCCAATAAGGTTTGAAAAATATATTTCATACCTTTTGGAAATCTAACCATGTGAAGCAGAAGATAACAACGTAGATACTGTTGAAAGGATGAGTGTGTGTGTGTGTGTGTGTGTGTGTGTGTGTTACACAAGTGCTAGTCTTCAAACACCTATATATGGAATTGTAAAATATATTAGTTAAATATCAAAATATATATATTCTGGTTTGTTCCTGGGTGAGGGGTTCCCAAGACCATGTGCAGGGTCAGTGATTAGAAGGACTCACAGGATGCAGCAAACAGTCCTGCCCATGGCTGGGATTGTTACTGCAAAGGAGTACAGACCAAAATCTCCAAAGGGAAAGGTGCATGAAGCGAAGTCCAGGGAATCTATGCAAGCTTCCAAGAGCCCTCTCTTAGGGGAGTGACATAGGACAAGATTAATTCCTCCCCCAACAAACTGTTGCCTGCCAGGAAAGTTCATTTACACCAACGAGCCCCAGGTTTTTACTGGAAGTTGATCACATAGGCACCCTCTACCTAGTACGCAGCAGAATTCCAGACTCACAGAAGGAAAGCAGGTGTTCAGTATAAGCCATATTGTTTGCATGAACAGTTTAGGATCCATGAGCCAGTCCTAACATTTAGGAAACAGTGGGAATCTCGTGAAACACAGGTTCTCAATTGCCAGCCAAGGGGCCTGCCTTGCAAAACAGGCCTTTCTAGTGTGTCAGGCCTTCTATGGTGACTCTTTTCTCGAGAGCTCTCAATATAATATATTTCTAGGTGTATGGGGAGTAAAACTTCTTTCATTTCCCTTTATCCTCTCTTCTTCCCTTAAAAAGTGATAGTCAGGGTCAGGTTTATAGGGTAATCACAATGAAGCAATAGTAGGTATCCAGTGAACACTCACTAAGTGCCTACCACTCTAGACAACAGCAGTAAAATAAGGAGACATGGTCCCTGCACACAGGATTTTTATTTTAGCCTAAAAATGAATGTAGAATGGGAACAAAAGCAGTGGCGATGGTTAGAAGATGAGACACGGTAATTCACAGTTACCAGGTAGGATAACAGTTGGCCTTTGGATGGAATGTTTATGAAATGATTTTACATCGGCCAAAGGGGAACATGAACCCACCCTGCGTTTGTCTCTCCTTGGCTGCCACCCTCCCCAACCCAACCAAGCTATGCCAACCCCACTGACTATCACTTTGGGGTAAGTGAAACAGTTCTGTCTTGAGCTCCATGTGAAAGAATGGATAATCAAAGTGTCAAAAGGATCTCAGGCATCCTTGGGATGTGCAGACAGAAGCAGAATTACAGCGGCCTCCTCTGTCCCTCTCCTTCCCAGTCTCCCCACGGCCAAAACAGTCTCTCACTTGGCTTTCTCTATGCCTTTCGTTTCAAATCATTGAAGGTCTTATCACCTTTGAAAGGTTAATCAGAGCCAGATACGATGGCTTACACCTGTAATCCTAGCATTTAGGGAGGCCAAGGCAGGAAGATCCCTTGATCCCAGGAGTTTGAGACCAGCCTGGACAACAAAGCCAGACCCTGTCTCTACAAAAATAAAATTAGATTAAAAATTTGCCAGATGCAATGGCATGTTCCTATAGTCCCAGCTATTCAGAAGGATCCCTTGAGCTCAGATGTTCCAGGTTGCAGTGAGCTATGATCTCACTACCACATTCCAGACTGGATGACAGAGCAAGACCCTGTCTCCAAAAAATAAAAAAAAAAAAAGAAAGAAAGAAAAGTTAACCAGGGTAAGCATGGTGCCAAACACATGAAGAAACTTCTCACTGAGATGGAAGAGAGGTTGAAGTTATTCTAGCCATACCCGTGAGCTGCTGGGCAGTTTATGGAATGAGGTGGCAGGCATTGTCCCCGTCCTGCAGGAGGATGATGAAGGAGAGCGTAATGAAAGGACTACGTAGAACAGTAAAAATAGCAACTTACATAATCACATCTATTACAGAATGTTACATCTTCTAGCAGATTGTGCCTTTTACTCTTTGAGCAAATCTGGCAAGAAATGCCTCTGGATACTAAATTTTTATAATCCAAAAAACTTAAATCCTAAATTGGTGAGTATCAAGATGCTAGGCCCTAAATCGGTTTCCTGCCGTAATGTATCGCTATTGGCCCATCTGCTTTTTCATACTGTGTTATTGTTGAGAAGTCTGATGCCTCTCTAAAACTTATTCCTTTATTTATATCCTGCTTTCATTTTTATATTTCTGGAAACTTTGTAGGTGTATTTTTATTGTTGGAGAACTGAATATCACTGGGATCTGAAATTTTTTTTTTCGTCATCAGCACTCAGGTTTTTGTTTCTCATAACTCTTCCTTTCCTTTGAATTCTAAACACTCTCCTCCCAGTATTTCTGTAATTATTTCTTTCTCTTCTTCCTTTCACTGCTTGAATTAAACTCACATACATTAAATTGTCACTTATTTTCCATATCTTTTTTCTGTTTAGTCTGTATGCTGGTATTTTTTGTCTGCATTATTCTTGTAGAGACTTAATTTTCATTTTTGCCATGAGTAATTGTAACTTGGCCCCTGCTGAATTTATAATTCAACAAATATACTGTTAATTTATAAGAATGTCTCTTTTTTCACTGATTTCCTCTTTATTGTTATACTTAGCTTCTGACTTATTGTTGCAACTTCTCTCAAATCTCTCTAAAATTATTAAATAATTATACATGTTCTTCTCTTTCCTCAATTATTTACTTTTTGTAGAATATTTATCACTGTATTTCTTTTTTCTGTTGGTTTTCTCTTGATATTCGTTTACAAACCATTGCCAAATACAATCACAAAGTCTGGCTTTAAAATAGCATGGTTTTATTAGTAAGTATCAGACTTAGATAATTAAGAGGTTTACTTTTCTTACAACAAGACGCTTAAGGAGGAAGGCCAAGACTTGTATGGCTACCCTGGTACGGATCTGTCAATTTTTCATCTTTCCATTCCGCTTCCCTTAGTGTAGGGGCCAATCGTTAATACTTACAGGATGTCCGGACATCACAGGCAGCATGTCCTTGCTTCTGAAAGAAGCACTGGTCAGCTGACTTCATCCACTTTCACAAGAAAACTTTAGCTTTCCTGGACACTCCACCAAGTAGAATTACATTTATATCTTACTGGATGTAACCATCACATGATCACATTCAGTCTTTTTAGTTAGACACACAGCATCTTGAAGCAAAATCATGATATTTATAAGTTAGGAAAGAAAAGAAAGTGGGTTTTGGCAGGAAGCTAGCAGAGTCTGCTTCTGAGACCAATTCTGTTACAGTGCATGGCATTTATGAGGATCAATATAATTATGAATGAATTAGTAAGTGCTGCCATCAATGCCCCGTTAGTCACTAATTGTATAAATCTCCAGGCAGCGGTATATATATATAAAAACTCTAGTGTAATGCATATGTGAATGTACAATCACATTTGGAAAGATATGCCTAGATAAATGTGGCTTTCATTTCTTCTATTAGCCACGTGAGACCTGTGACAACCACACTAATCAGTTGGATGGCACCCAGGAAGAAACAGAGCTTCCAAGAGTTATCAAGACAAGTGGTTCCATGGTAAGTTGTAGTTGTGGGGGGATGGTGGTAGCCATGAACAAGCTGTTTCTTCAAGATGGTTGAGCAAAACTTGAAAAAAGTGCAACATAATTAAGACAGTTGGACAACCACAGATTTCAACATACTTATCTACCTTTAAATAATTTTTAAGAAAAATATTCAGCAGTAAATGAGCTCAAGTTGAATAGGTAAGCTCATTAAAAGGTGCTCGATATTGTTAATGAATATGGAAATGCAAAGAAAGCCACAATAAGGTATTTCTAGATACCCTGTAGAAGGCTAAAAGTAAAACGACTGACCATACCAACCAGTGCCAAAGATTCAGAGCAGTTAGAACTTTCACATGTTGTTGTTAGGAGTGTAAACGTTTTATCCACTTGGCAGCATCTTAAACATTAAAGATATACCTGCTCTGAGACCCAGCCACTCTACTCATCAGTAATATATACACACAAACACTTGTAATATGGATACACACAAACACTTATCCACGATGTTTATAGCAGCTTTATTTGTAATAGCCCTAAACGGAAAATATACAGATTTGCAGGTAAACAGATAAAAATAATTGTGGTATACCCACAAAATGGGATATTACTCGGCAATAAAAAGCAATAAGCTGTTTATACACATAACACAGTTCGATCTCAAAATAATTATACTGTGTGAAAGAAGCCAGACTTAAAAATACGTGATTCATACAAAATGATAGAAAATGTAAACTAACCTATAGTGGGGGGAAGATGATCGCTGATTTCCTCTGGGGGACAAGAGGGAGGGTGAGGAGGAGAGGAAACGAGAGATTCAAAAGAGGCATGAGGCCATTTTTGGGGGCTGCTTGTTCTGTTCATTATCTTGACTGTGGTGATGGTTTCATAAGTCTATATAGTTGTCAAAACTCATCAAATTGTATTTTGTGTATACTTTATTTACAGTTAATTACATGTATGCTGTATCTCAATAAACCTGTTTTTAAAAGTCCATTGAATGTTTTATAATCTAATTAATAGCCAACATACTTATTTTTCAGTAAGCTACTTACAATAAACAGCCTATTCATGTATTACATATGAATAACGCTTGACTCTAATCACACATGCCACTGAACCCAAGCGCTTACAAAATGTTTGCAATCCAATCTACAATAATCGGAAACCTACCTTACAAATCAATTCCTATATAAAAAGACATTTTCCTTATGTGCAGTCAACATAAATGAAACAATCTGTCAAGATTATTGTTAGTTTATTGAAAATGTAAAGTAATCCTTCTAATTTATTTCCAGTGTCTTAAATGATAACCAAATAGCTATACTTGCTATTGATTCATAATTTACTGTAAAATACAGTCATGCCATTTGTTAAAAATCATGAGTTATATCTGTTTTCTTCATATAAAAGAAAATTAAAGGAACTTAAATTTAAGCAAGTAGAAGAGTTGTTTTTTTTGAGATGGAGTCTTGCTCTGTCACCCAGGCTGGCGTGCAGTGGCGCCATCTCTGCTCACTGCAACCTCCACCTCCTGGGTTCAGGGGTTTCCCCTGCCTCAGCCTCTGGAGTAGCTGGGAATACAGGCACACGCCACCATGCCTGGCTAGTTTTTTGTATTTTAGTAGAGACGGGGTTTCACCATGTTGGCCAGGATGGCCTCGATCTCCTGACCTCGGGTTTTTTTTTTAAACACAAAACTAAGAAATTAATAGGGAGTTAACCAAGGTTGGTACAACTGCAAAACAATGTAGTAGTAACCTTAGCATGGACTAACAACTTTTTCCTTTCTTGTTGCTGCCTTAGCATGTGCACTTAATCCTCACACTTACAGGATGCTTAGGAGGCTCTGATACCTTGTTGATACCCATTAGTGTCACCAAACCAAACTGGGTCAGTGTGCCCATGCAAAATGAAAAGCCAAACACTGAAGCACCAAGTTTTGCAGTGGAAAGGTTTATTTCCATTTGAATGGCAAGGAGACAGGAGGAAATGCTCAAATCTGTCTCCCTGAGCTGGGAGTTGAAGCAAGTTTTGTAGTCAGAGGGTAATGAGGCGTGATCTGATTGGATCTTGCAATAGGTGATGCCAGAGGCCTGCTCTGACTGGATCCTGCCAGGGGGTGATGTCAAGGCTCAATCTGATTGGATCCTAGATCCTGCCATGTGATGTCTGCTTCTTACCTCAGTCCCTGTTCCTCAGTCTGAGCACTTAGGTTCCACCTATGGTTGCATGCATGGTTCATCAGGTCATGCTCAGGTTGTGTGACCTTCAACCTGAGGCCGAGGGTCCATGGTGTAAACCAAAAATAAAACTCTAAGGTCTCCAACTATCTGAATGGATGCCTTCTTTTGGCCAAGGGTATTCCAGAGTAATCTGAAAATCTACTTCAGGCCATGATGGAAGAGGGAGTTGGGCATGCCTCATTTTACCTGCTAACATTAACAACAACACAGACCTGAAGTCTAATAAACATTTACATTCTATTCTCTTAAAGCCTGCTACTCAGAGGCTTCATCTGCTTGACAGAACCTAGGTCTACACAACCTCATTTTAACTCAGACATTCCTTTCTACTAGTAACTCAACCAATTGCCAATCAAAAAAAAAATTTTGGGGGGGGGGATGGACTTTCACTCTTGTTACCCAGGCTGGAGTGCAATGGCACAATCTCGGCTCACTGCACCCTCCACCTCCCAGGTTCAAGCGATTCTCCTGAATCAGCTTCCCAAGTAGTTGCTATTACAGGCATGTGCCACCATGCCTGGCTAATTTTTTTGTATTTTCAGTAGAGACAGGATTTCCCTCTGCTGGTCAGGCTGGTCTCAGACTACTGACCTCAGGTGATCTGCCAATCTCAGCCTCCCAAAATACCAGAATTATAGGCATGAGCCGCCGCACCCACCCCATTCAGAAAATTTTTAAATCTACCCATGACCTGAAAGCCCCTGCTTCAAGTTGTTCCACATTTCCGGATCGAACCAATGTAAACTTTACATGTATTGATTGATGTGTTATGTCTCTCTAAAATGTATAAAAGCAGACTACATCCTAACCACCTTGGGCACATGTTGCCAGGTCCCCCTGAGGCTGTATCATGGGCACATCCTTACCCTTGGCAAAATAAGCTTTCTAAACTGACTGAGACCTGTCTCAGATACTTTGGGTTCACAATGACAACTAAGAACTCACCACCTGGTTACAGGAAAGTTGAGCCAGATTGGTCTGGGTGTGGGGGGGGTTACATTAGGAACATGTTACAACTGACTATTTTTAACAGCAAACCTTCACTACAGTAGAATCTCTCTCTCTCTCTCTCTCTCTCTCTCTCTCTCTCTTTTCTAAGAACAGTTTTCTTTCTCCAGTTGCTGCACATTTTCTTCTATTATGCCTTAAATTCTTTTTTTCCCTATTCCCACCTTCCAAGAGCACTTAGATGCCTGGCTTCAGTTGAATTTGCATAGCTCCTAAATTTTGTTTAAGGCAGTGGGGGCTCCTCTGGAGCTGCCGCTGTAAAGACACCAGCTGCAGCAAGGGAGGTGCAGCCAGGGTTGTGCCCTCTGCGGGGCCAGCAGGAGCCAGGAGCAGGCAGGAACCCTGCCCTCTACTGACTTGGGAGGGCTGGAACCCTATGCTCCCAGGCACAGCTGCAGCCGCCCACCCACAGCTCAGCACCCAGGCATCCCTGCACGCTCAGGGGCCTGAGAAACCCCTCCTCCCACAGGCTTGGAAGTGCCTGCCCACGCTTCCTGGCCCCTCTTCACTGCTGGTGCCTGCTCAGTGTGGAGCAAAGTTGTGGCCCAGCCCGGGCACTGTTGAAACTCCACCAGGTGTTCACATGCTCAGGGCAGTGCTTACACTCCAGCGCCCCTGCCGCCTTGGCCCCCTCTGAACTTTAGGCACCCACAAGCATGGGAGGGAGGCCAAGGCGGGTGCTGAGGGCAGCTCGGCACAGGCCTGCAGGTGTCCCTCAGCAGCAACAGCCTGGGCACTGTGGATGGCATGCTGCTGGTTAGAGGCAGACAGGTGATTGAGCAGAAAGGTGCAGGTACCCAGTAAAACCCCTCCTTCAAGCCAGGAACAGCCTGAAGCCTGGAGACTGGGCTGCCATTTCTGGGTGAATTCTGCTGGCTGGAATGGGGACTTCATTAAAGACCATTTGGCCAATTGGATGGTGCTTTTTCCAGGCCCACCCACGGCCACCCATGGACAAATCAGCATGTACTTCCTCCCTTCTGGGCCCATAAAAGCCCCTGGACTTAGCCAGACACACAGAAGTCAGGGGCTACCAAATGGAGGAAAGAGCTACCCATTTCATTTCAGGTCTCTTCAGGATGACCTGCCTACAAAAGGAGATACCCACTGCAGGTCTCCTGAGAGCTGTCTGTCAATCAGTGAAGGGCCACTCTGCCTTGCTCACCCTCCAGTTGTCCATGTACCTCATTCTTCCTGGATGTGGGACTAGAACTTGGGATGCACCGAATGGTGGGACTGAAAGAGCTGTAACACAAACAGGGCTGAAACACACTTCCCACTTGCCACATTGTGGGGGATGAGAAGGAGAGAAGAGCTGTGGCCCTTTTGGGGAGCTCAGACCTGGGGGATCTCTGAGCCATGGCTGTGACACCCACTTTTAGGCTCTGCAGTTCCTGGCATCTCCAAGCTTCCAGGCACCACCACATTCGCTGGTGTCCACAGTGGAAGCCCATGGAAGACACCTTTTGTACACCTGGTCCAGCCATAGCCTCACATGGAGCTAGTGCCTGTAACTGGCACCTGGAGCTGCCTGCCCCACTGCAGCTGGCATGCCTGGCTGTGTGCAGTGGCTGGACCCTGTGCTTGCTCACACACCCCTTGCCGTTCCACACTTGCCTTACCCTTGGCAGGGGTGGGACCTGGGCCAGTAGCATGAGCGGAATGCAGCCTGCTGGGCCAAGTGGGTGGAATGAACCCAGTGGGCCCGAGAAAAACTCAGACAAAGGCACCACCAGTCAGACACGTTTCCAGCTAGAAAAGTAACACCCTAAGAATTCTGTGGAATTATCTCGTATTACTTTGTTTGCTCTGTTTTCTAGGTTTCTCCAACTTTATGCTCCAGATTTGAAAATATTTTCTTGGTCATTTTTATATTTTTATTTAGCTTGTCTCACTCTTTTTATAAATTTTGGGAAACATATTCTTATTTCCCAAAGCAATTTTTAAATCTCGAATATGCCCATTATTATAGCAATATAATCTCAATTCAAAGCAGCAATGGCCCTTTTAAGTTTCTCAGAAGGTAAGAATCACATTATTTTTAGGGAATCAAATAATTTTTATGTTTTCTTAAATTGAGGTATAACTTACAAACTATAATTGCTTTCATTTTAGATGTATAACTCAATATTTGGGTTGTGTGTTTGGCTTTGGATTTCTAGAGACAGGGTCTCAGTCTGTTGCCCAGACTGGAGAGCACTAGCGCAATCCTAGCTGACTGCAGCCTTGAACTCCTGGGCTCCAGTGATCCTCCCTCCTCAGCCTCTCAAGTAGCTGGGACTACAGGTGTGCACCACCATGCTTCAATTATTTTTAACAAATGTTATCACCTATGTAATCATAGCTAATCAAAATGTAGAACATCTCCATACCCAGAAGTTTATCCTGGGCCCTTTCAATCAGCAGTCCCTCCTTCTAGAGAAGCAAGACTAGCCGTGATTTCTCACACCTTAGCTTGGTTTCCTGTTTCACAGAAGTCTAATTATAGTATGTTCTTTTATGTCTGGCTTCTTTAATTTATAATAAATTTTGAGATTCATCCATTTGTTGCATGTTTTAGGAATCTAGTCCGTTACTAAATAATATTCCATAGTGTAAATATAGCACTATTGCTATTCACCCAATGATGGACATTTGGATTGTGTACAGTTTGGAGTTATGAATAATGCTGCCCAGAACATTTATAAGTACAAATGTAGAATAAAGGATATGGATTCTCATTTCCCTTAGGTAAAGATGCTACATAATTCAGATTGTCAGCAAACACAGCCACACCTCCCCATCACCCATAGCTCTTAAACTTAGTAAGGAATAATTTAATAGGTAAATCTAAAATAACTAAATTCTATCATTAAAAAAGATCTACGGGCAGAAACAGCAACAAAATATCATTTTCTATTACATATCCTGCGTGGAGGATGTCGTCAACAAAAGCTAGGACTTCATGGGTGAACTCACACAGAAAAAATAACAGACTGCTGTATAAATATTTTTTTCAGTATCAACATAGATATAAACGCTTAGCTTTTTCCAGTTATTTTGGAAATGTAAACATCACGTGTAGAGAACACGTTAGCTTTTGGAATATGTGGCCATCCGTGATGGCGCAGTGAAGTGTCTCCCCTGAGTGTACCATCTGGTCAGGGAACTGCACGCCTCCCGCTGGACAGCAGCCAATGTTTTCAGATTTTAGGTTGTGCCTCCAGTGGAGGGAAAGCTTTCCACCATGGCTCTCAATCCAAGGTGTTTTTTCCTGTCCTCCTCCCCAGCCACTCCCCCAGCCCTGTCTATCAGAATCTATTGCAGCAGAAGGGCGATAGGATACACTCTATGCCTTCACCTAAGGACACATAGTGTGAAAGGTGTTCTGCAAGGCAGAAGCTATCGGCACATTGCAGATAGAAGGAACTACAGCTCTCTGAGCCTCTAAAGTGTTCCGCAGAGGAATAGAGCTGGACATTATTGATTTTCCAATTGATCTGTACAGGAAATTGTTGTATATTTCCTTTGCAGTTGAGTAGATCTATTTTCCAGAAAGGCCAAAATTGTTGCTTGTGTGTTCATGTGAGTAGGGCATGCTTAACTTTAACGTGTGTAAAGGGGATAGGTTAGTTAGTATGCGTGCTCCCCAAATGCAAAACCAAACCAATGAAGGAGATAAAAACTTTATTATTTCCAGGCAAAGCTGATTTCATTTCTTGTTCTCCCCTCCATGTGTTCTATTGTGGCATCTGGAGTTCCTTCTCCCTTAGGCTTCTATATTCAAACTAGAAACTCATCCCCAAGGCAATAAGTTCATTTAATTTAGATTGCATTTTTTGGTGTTTTTTGTGGGGTTATATTTAGGAACTGTCTACTTATTTCTGGCAAAAGAGGTCCACTTGGCTCCCGTTTTTCTAAACATGTCTTAATTATTTGTCTGCAACACTTTCTTACTCTTTGTTCATTCCACATTATTTGTTTTTCTCTTCCCTTCCTAGAAATTTTATTTTATGCTGCTTTTAGGAAGAGATTTTTATCTTACCAAACCTTAGTCCCACTGGCTTTATACCTACAAATTGCTCATTTGGCCTGCTGTGGAATTGTTTGCTGGTTCAAAATCTGGTGCTATTCAAAATCTGGTCCTTTAAAAAATATGTATGCTTTTCTGCCATTTGTAGTTATTTGGGTGGCAAGGGAAGTAGATTGTCAGTTCACCATCTTGACTTAAATTTCCTTTTTGTTTGTTTTTTTTGTTGTTGTTTGTTTGTTTGTTTTTTTGAGACAGACTTTTGCTCTTGTCACCTAGTCTGGAGTGCAATGGCACGATCTCAGCTCACTGCAACCTCCACCTCCTGTGTTCAAGCAATTCTCCTGCCTCAGCTTCCCGAGTAGCTGGGATTATAGGTGCACACCACCATGCCCAACTAAATTTTGTATTTTTAGTAGAGATGGAGTTTTGCCATGTTGGCCAAGTTGGTCTCATATTTCTGATCTCAGGTGATCCTCCCGCCTCAGCCTCCCAAAGTGCTGGGATTACAGGCATTAGCCACTGTGCCTGGCCGACTTAAAGTTCTTGTACTAGTTCTTGTTTTTTATTTGCTTCTTTGAAAAAAAAAAATCTTTGCTCATTTTGTAAAGCAATGTATACTGTCTCTAGAAAATTGAGAAAATACAGTCAAGCAAAATAAAGAATGGCATTTCGTCAAATGCATTAAATTTTGCAATAAGTTTCCTTTGCTAAAGAAAATAATATTCACATCTTAATTTCAGTGGCATCATATTACACTACAGCGAAAAGAGTAGTTTCAGCTTTATGAATAAAAAATAAAAACTTCATACTGTTGCTGGTAAATTCTATTCACTACAGAAAACAGTCATTGGATCTGCTAAAAAAAATTAGGAGATTAGTCCAGTTAAGTTTGTGTTTGGATGCATGTAATCAAAAAGTTAGAGTTGTTTTGCTTTACATGGAGACCCTTCAGATGGAGGGCCCAAGTCTGATAGGGCAGCTGCATGGACACAGCCAGGCTCGCTCTTCTGTCCCTGACTTCTTCCTGGTGCCCATTGTCCTCATTTGTACTAGACACCTGGCAGCTCCACGCTGTCGTCTACGGCCCTGTCATGAGCATGTATCGGCTGAACCTATTCTTTTTCTTAGTAAATATACTTGGTAAAGTTTCATGTACACCTTGTTGGCCACACTTGTCACATGATCCCTCTTACCTTACAAATGAGCCTGGAAATCAGGTTTTTTGATTTACTCTAATTCCCTGGAAGAAAACCAAGACACTGTTAAGGCAAATGGAGTTTGTAGCAGTCACATCAGTCTCTGCCACAGAGGCCCGTGTCCTGAGAGGGCTGGGCACTTCAGTGGCTCATAGTAATGCTGCACCACCAGTTGGATGCAATTGTCCATGCACAGGCAGTCATAATTGCATATATTGCCATACATATCTCAGTATGAACACAGAGCAGAATACACAAGCACATTGGAAAGTGTTTCCCTGAATAAGAATGGTACTTTTATTTCTCCATTTAGCCAGATGATGCTTCTCCCAACAGTACTACCCTGTCTGACGCATCCCAGGATAAAGAAGGGAGTTTTGCAGTTCCCAGGAGTGACTCTGTGGTAAGTCATCACATGTCAGCACAGTTACATGTCAAGGTACAGTTGCAAGTCAAAGCAACTAACATAGGAAGGTAAGAAGAAGCAATTCTTTAAAACGTTAAAAAAAATACTTGAACTAAGATTGCAAGGAAACCACTGCTGGTAGAAGTAGCCGCTGGTGGAACTACTAACTTTATAAAAATTAGGAAGTAAGAGGCTCAAAATAAAAGAGGATTCCATAAATTAATATCACTGCAGCCAGAAATCAAAGGATGTTTTTTATGTGTATCAATTTGGAGGCATTTCTTTACTTTGGTCTTCTCAACTGAGTTCACTCAGACAAATCGTGGCTTAACTGTCATCTTAACCCAGAAGTTCCTTTTACCCACAGGATAAATTCAAAACCTGCATCTTGATATTGAAGGCTCTCTACTGTACCTACATTTCCAGACTGAGTTCTCAGGACTCATTCATGCAAACTCGGTCTTCAGATGAATTTATCACTTGGTCTTAAGTAACAGAACTTGTACTTTTGTTTTGTCAAAAATTTTGGTCATTCCCCCTCCTGTCACCCCCACTGCGACTCCCCACTCAGTGTCTCTGAGCAGGTGCTCTGCAGGGAGTGATATGATGGACCCTCCAAGAAGACAGTGAGAGACCCCATTAGGTGAGGCAGTGGTTTTCCAGCGGCAGGTTGATGGAAGCCAGCAGTGAGCACAATAGCCTCTCAGATGGAGCTGGCACGTTCAAAGATTGTGCTGGGGCAGTTGTTTCTCAGTTCCTATCCATTTCCAGAAGCAAGTTAGTTGGTGACATCTGCATGCATGACACATTCCTAGAAATCCCTCCTGCTTAGGAACATAATGCTGTTAGCCCTGTATAAATTAGTGCTGCTGTTGTGTCTTTAGATTTTTGTTTATAGTATCGTTTTGTTTTGTTGCTCAGTGATCATGCAAGAGGAATAAAATAATGTGGATGACTTTTATCATTGGTTAACTTACTGATAGCTCTGTAGGTTATAGCATAAATAGGCTGAGGGATGTCCACAATATCTGACACACTGACTGTAAATCAGCTGTTACTTTCCCATTCAAGACCAGGCACTGGAGTGCAAATGAGTGAGAGTGTCTCTATTTTAGACATCATCTCAAATTCACCCCACTTAATAATGAAAACAAAGTCTGGTGACTGTTGGAATAAGGAGTGACCTACAGTAGATCTTACACAGTTGTGCTTTTCCCTTGTGACTGGGGACTCGTGCTCTGAGGACTTGCCCAGGATCCTTTATCTTCCACCGCAGTTTGTGGCATCCATGTCCCTTAGAGTCGCACCTGCATGCCACCCTCAACTCTGCCTAACTTCTCCCCTCTTCATGCCCATCTCTGAGACCTGTGAATTTCATCATGTAAAGGCTTGTAAAATCTTTCTGCTCTTCTGTCTTAGTAAAGAAACTCATTGTCATCTTCTGTACTGCCGAAGTAGCCTCCTAAGTGATCTCCAGACTTCAGGTTTATTCCCTTCAAATCCATCCCTCCCACAAGTCACTGATTTAAAATACAAGTTGCTTAAACCCTGCGGTGGTTCTCCAACACTTTCTAGTTAACATGGAAGCTCCTGACATGGTCGGACCCCAAGTCTGCCTCTCTAGCTGGCTTTAACACCCCCCGCATTTTGTACAAGCGGCAACACAGGACTGCGTGTGGTTCCACGCACACACCAGCAGAACTAGAAGGAGGATGATTGTATGATTAAGTTGCCAAGGAAGAGGATGGCAGGCATGCCTTCCTTTCTAGGTGTTTCCATGGCAGTTCCATGGCCACAGTTTTAGTTCTGTTAAGACTGCTGGTCAGGTTTTTCTATTTCTTTATTCTTCGCTGCTAACTTCTTCACATCGTTGGTTCATTCAGTCATTTACTCAGCAAATTCTTACTGAGCACATGTCGTCTACAAATAAGCTTCTTGCAAGTTTGAGGGCATAAGAGAAAGAAAATGTTCTTGTGTGGCAGTTATAGAGCTGTCCAGGGTAAGTTAGTCACCCAGATTTTGTTTTCATTTTCATTTTGTTTTTTTCTGAAGGCAAACTGAATGCCAGTAATGACATAAATACAAGTTTCAGCAGTATTGGGTCTAAAAAATATCTCACTGGTACTGGCCTTCAACTTATGTTGGATTGTTTGTTACTCAGAGTATCTTTATTTAGAAAATTTAAACAACATGGTTATTTGCTCGAGTGGCTCACAGATCCCGAGCGAGTGCTTTGGTAACTACATTCTGAGTCCTGTGCTTTTTGGTTATAAGGAAGCACAGTCACTCCGTTTCCCAGCCTCTTATAGATGGAGGGATATCCAGTAATCAAGTGAAGAGGGGGCCAGGGCCTCAGGGGTCCTGTCTGTGATGCCTGTAAAAATAAACCCATCCAGCCAGGCTGACTTCCCAGGGGGGCAATTTACTGTCATCCCCAAGATTTCGGGGGCCCCAACAACTTGGCCTACTGGAATGTATGTTGTAAAATGGTATAAAGAAGGTAACCTAAATTTATCTTTTCCAAAAGATAGCCATGACCAAGCTGTGTCTTTCCCCCAGTCTTTCATCTTTTCTGCATGTTTGAAATGCCAACTTTGTGATAAGTAAAACTGCCAGGTTTGCAGATGTTTGTCTCTATGCTATGTTTTCGAAATCTGATAGGGTAAGTTCCCTCCCATCAAAGTCTGCATTGAAATTTCCTTTTGCCCTTCTTAGAAATTTTTTCTTCCAGATGAATGTACAAAAAGGCTATGACTACCCCACCAAAAATCTTCTTATGGCCTTATTAGGAATTTCATTAAATTTAAAGATTAATGGAGAGAGAATTCACATCTTAAAACACTGAGTCTTTCCATTGAGGCATAATAATTGTGTCTTTCTATTTTTCTATCCTTCAGTGAGGTTTTATAATTTATTCCTTTAAGTCTTACATGCATTTTCGCACATGCTAGTTTGCACTGGTATTTTAAATTGTATAGTTTTTGATGACATATTCTAACTTGTTTTGCAGATATAGCAGGAAAGGTTTTTGTTTCTTAAAACAGTGTCTCCCTTAACTTCCTTCCTGAAGCTTTTTTACTTCTAAAAATTTTTCATTTAATGTTATAATTTTCCCTCAGAAATCATCTGCATATGCTGAATATTTTGACTCAATATGTAAAATAATTATTCATCTCATTTTTTTCCCTGTGTGAGAGGACTGACCACCATCACTTATAACACTGATTAATAATTATGAGAATCCTTTGATAAGTTCTTGATTTTTCTTATGAATTCTTCTAACGTTTCGTCATTAAGGAGAATATTTATTCTAGGGTTCTGAGCCTCATAATTGCTTTAATCAGGAATGGAGTTTGAATTATATCAAATGATTGTCCAACATCTCTTAAGATTAATGTATTGTTTTCCTTCTTTAATCAATTACTGTAGGAAATTACACTGATAGGTTTTTCTTATATTGAACTATAATTATATTTCATTTCTTGTCTGAACCCAACTTACCATATTGTTATTCTTTTATTAAACTATAGAATTTGATTCGCTACTATTTTAGCATTTTAACCACTATTCTAGTAAATGGGATTAGTCCATATATATAATTTATTAAAATTTGTTTACCAGGGTTATGCTAATCTTTGTACAAATATGTTGAAAACTCTGGATATTTTTCAGTATCTCGGAGCCATTTATTGAACTATGATGTAAACATGTAATATATAAATCTACACATATTTATCATTTATATATATTTTTGATATATTTAATAATTTGTTCATGAAACCTCCAAAGCCTGGTATCATTATAGATGTAAAGCTTTGTTTAATTTTTTAATGGATATAATTTAAGGGTTAGATTATTTTCTGTCCCAATTTGTATGAATTTTGTCTTAGCAAGATATACAATTTATTTTGAATTTCAAGATATGTTGTTATAAATTTATTTTTTTTGTGTGTGTATATATATATATGTACAAACACAAACATTTATTAACATTATAATTTTTAAATTATCTGTGATGGTAAATACTGTTCACTTTTTGTTTCTAAAATTTGTCTTATATCTTAATCAGACTGTAAATAGTTGCCCATATCAGCAATATATTTTAAATTCATAAACTTTATTATTGATTTATTTACTCATTTATTTATTTATTTTTGAGAGAACATCTTGCTCTGTCACCCAGGCTAGAGTGCAGTGGCGTGATCATGGCTCACTGCAGCCTTGAACAAGTGGGCTCAAGCTGTCTGCCTATTTCAGCCTCCCGAGTAACTGGGATCACAGGTGTGCACCACCATGCCCAACTATTTTTTTTTTTACTAGAGATGAGGTCTTTCTATGTTGCCCAGGCTGAGCTTTGTTTTTTAGAGCAGTTTTAGGTTCACAGCAAAATTGAGTGGAAAAGTACAGCAATTTCCCACATACCCCCATTCTCATGCATGCCTAATCTTTCCAGCAGCAATATTTTTAAAGAAATAACTAACTTTATTTAATTGTGCCTATTTTTTCCTATTGCAGTAATTTATTCAAACCTTATTTTTTTTACATTCTTAGCTCTACTTGGATAATTTTTTCTCGTCTCTTAGAGTATGAAGATATTTCACTTAATTTTAGTCATTTGCATTAAAGTTAAGAATCTCTGAGTAATACTTTGGCTATTCTCATGGATATTTGGTATTTAATATTCTCATTGTCTTGATATTTATGTTATAATTTCAGATGTGAATTACATTTTAATTCAAGATATCATCAGAATACCTTTCAATTCATGTTGAATAGATTTTGCAAGTGTTATATCTTCTACTTTAAAATGGTATTGCGTATTTGTCAGGGAATGTGGCTTCCTTAAGTTGGTCTCTGGGGAATTCGACACAGTGTTTTCAAGTTGTAGATTTGTCCGTTCTGGTCTTGGTTGCAGCACAAGAAGACGAGAAGCCTTACTGTCTTTATTTAATCAAGCTCAGGTGGCTTTAGTACATGGAGTCATATAGCACAGAAACTCCAACCACGGGCAGGAATCAAACAGCCTGTCAGAGAGATCAGAAACACCTTCGGAGTCAATGAATTTTAAGTAGTGAACAGAGCATTGAGAATGTTTTGTATGGTGTTTATTGAATACGGAGGACATACCAGATAATGTTAGTCAAAGCCTAGTTTTAAGATAAAACTACAACAGATAGCACCAGGCTCCTACAATCTAAAATTTAACAACATAACCCCTCATACTCTGCTTTCCAATCCTAGATTGGTGTAACTAGGGCAGCAGAGAAACCTTCAGCAGAGGGAAAGCACCTGTCGTGATTGTGACCCATTTTGATTCTGTCACTTCCCTTAGCAGTAAAAGCCCTGATGAGAAACACGTGTGCTTGGGCACATTAGTGAAATGGTGTGCTCAGTTATGAACAAGCCAGGGAAGGTTGCCTTAAATGGGGGTTGCCTTTGTATTTAAAATACATTAAAATCACTAGTACAGGGCCAGGCGTGGTGGCTCATGCCTGTAATCCCAGCACTTTGGGAGGCTGAGGCGGGTGGATCACGAGGTCAAGAGATCGAGACCATTCTGGTCAACATGGTGAAACCCCATCTCTACTAAAAATACAAAAAATTAGCTGGGCATGGTGGTGTGTGCCTGTAATCCCAGCTACTCAGGAGGCTGAGGCAGGAGAATTGCCCGAACCCAGGAGGCGATGGTTGCGGTGAGCTGAGATCGCGCCATTGCACTCCAGCCTGAGTAACAAGAGCGAAACTCTGTCTCAAAAAAAAAAAAAAAAAAAAATCACTAGTACAAATAAAAAACGATGCTAGTCATAATATGATCCTTAATGAGGAATGGATGTTTTAAAATGATATACGTCAAGCATCTCGTTTCCTGCTAAACCTACATCCCAACTCAGGTACCATTTATTGGCTGCCACTGTTCCTTCATCTCCCCCATGAATCATTCTCTTGCTGTAACACAAAGATGAGAGTTTGTTTGTCTTGCTCTGTTCTGTTTCTAACCTCATAGGATTCTAAGTCTCAACTCCTTGACCTGGCTTTCGAAAACTTCCATAATTTGTACTGATTCTCCTGATGAATTTATTTCTTATGATTCTGTAATACCATGACATGACTCCTGGTACCCCAGTCTCTTCATTGTCCCTGGTGCTGAAATGCTTCAGATAGTTCCATGCCTGAAATTTCTGCTTCCATCTCTGTCTGGACTGAATGCTTCGCCTCTGCCTTTGGAAGTCCTGTTCATTATTCCTTAAGTTTCAGCTCAAGTCCAACCACCTCATCAGTGAGAACCTTCTGGATGGCACCTCTTCCCTCTAGATTGCTCTCCAATAACACTTGCAGTTGGTATTACGGAAATTAGCTCTTGACAGTGGCTTGTCTTTTCATAATGCTTCATAAGTGTTATTCTTTTCTCTTCATTGTTAAGTAGCTCAAGAGCAGGAATTATGACTCAAATTTCTGTTTCTCCCAAGAAAGTCCCACAACTATTTACATTACAAAGAGCAGGCACTCCTTCGGTAAAATTAACAGGCTTGAGGCCAGTTTAACTGGTAGAGAAAATTAAGAAAATGATATTCAGTAGGTTTAAGTATCCTAAACCATCAGTTTCAAGCCCTAAATAAATGAAAAAGTCTTATCAATTTTCAAGAGTCTTCTCTCCCATAGGTAAGTTATTTTAAAGTCTGAGAAAGCATTTCTTTGTTGGAAAACTTAAGGAAAGGGAAAGTTGTCCATATCTCTTTAAGGATTTGAGTGTGTGGGTAATCTTTATTCTATAGTGTTACTTGTGGAGCCACCAAAGATCAGCCAGACAATGAACCTACATGACCCTAGACCTTTTTTCAGTTTGTCATTCTTCCACCAGTTACAGTAATTGGGCATCTATGTTTTAATAATCGGACATCTATTCATATGCCATTTACACAATTATAATTGTATCAATTTTTTCAAATAAATGGGAATAAAAGGAGATCACGAGGCTCAGAATTCAGGACTCCTTTGTGCAACTTGTAGAACATAATAAAAGTTCTTTCATGAAGCAGGTGTTCAGTTATTGCTAAATAAATAAAAGAATTTAAAAAAACATAAGGCTCTGGGGGAAAACATTTTATGTGTGAATAGCATATAAAAGATTCTTGATGGCGTAGCAGATTTCACTATCACACATATTCACAGATAACTCTCATATTAAAATTTGTAGGATTTGCTTGTAAATGTTTTTGATAGGATTTGTGTATAAATTTTTACTGGTACCCATCCAGACCTAGGCAGTAGCTTGCTTCACAGGCCTTTACAAGAACAGATTCTCAACTTCTGATAATACTGCAGGGCAGTTCGGTGCTCTGGCAGGAATTCAATTTAAAAAGTACCAAATTAATTAAGAGGGGAAATTGAATTAGAAAAGATACTTAATATTTTGTTAGTTACTATCGCTCTGTATTTTGCTTTGAGGGGAATTGATATGTTAATGTTATATTAACATAATATAATTAATATAAATAAGGCCAAAATGCATGAAGATTAATTAACAAATGATATTATAATTATCAAATTATGTGACAGCAGGCATCATAATTTCTACCTCTTAGCAAAGGTATAAGCAGCAAACATTTGCGAGCTAAGAAAGCAGTTATGTGGACCTGACATTGTACCCTTTTGTGAAACCAGTGAAAGCTGCACACGTCTGAACTGAAAGCAGAAACAGGCAATCAGATGCAGGGCCTTTGCCAAATCAAGAATGGCTTTTTTGTGAAAATAACTCTTGTATACTGCAGAACATAAGTTAGACTGAAATGTGGGGTGGACTGTATTTATGGTAAAATGTTTTGTGTTCATCTTCCTTGGCTTGGCAGGCTCTACTTGAGACCATTCCGGACCTACCAGTTCATTCCAATGGATCACCGGAGCCTGGACAGCCAGTTCAGAATGCCATGAGTGGTGAGCCGCATGCCTCCCGTTGAACCTCAGCTGTGTCTCCTCGCTTTTGTTCTGGCACTCAGTACAGTTAGCAGTGAATTTCTAAAAGCAAAATAGAAGTGTGCTTTTCTCCCCATTGTGATTCTGTCACTTCCAACACTCACTCCTCCCACCCACCTCCAAACACTCCATTCTGTCATACAAGACAAAATTAATTGAGCCAGATTGGAAACAGAATCTTTTCCTCCTTCACGACCACCTCATCATTTAGAAACTCCTCACGTGGGTAGTGTCTTTGCTTTAAAGGCTCTTTCGCAAGTGATGTGGTCTGCTCCACCGTTTCAGGTAGGCCAGGAAGTAGGCACTTCTGAGGATCCCTAATTACTGCTCAGGCTGCCCCTGACAAGGCTGCCGGGGAGGCTTTTACCTGGACCTCTTCATTTGAGAGGTGAGCTCCCTAGAGGGGCTCAGTATGGAATCTTGGATCCTCCTGGTGGGAAATAGGCCCCCTTTTGGACATACTTTTGTGATTTCTCAGTTTTTTCCAAAATATGTGCATTCTTTTTGTAAGTAATGAAGCCTGTGCTTTTTTCAGCATTGGCTTCAAAAATCAAAGATGTTGAGGTGACGAAAGTGTTCTAAAATTGATCATTATGATGGTTGTACCACTCTGAATGTACTAAAAACCATTGGCAGGTATACTTTAAATGGGTGAATCGAATGACATGTGAAGTGTATCTCAGTAAAGCTGAGAAGAAAAAAATAAAAACAAAAATGAAGAGACTTGCTAGACAATAGTATTCTACATCATTCTATTGGTTGCCATACCGTGACTTAGTTGAAATCATGCCACTAAGAGCTAGCCATCTACGAGGAGTGGTCCTGTGGTTGGAGCATTGGCCTGTTTAATTGCTGCTCTCCAAAGAATCTCTTCATAGATCCTTAGGAAGTTAGAGTTCTATTTGTGTCTTCCTCTGTTTTGAATGCAAGCCCCTGTATAACAATTGAGCATCATAGCTCTCCCTTTGCCATTTTCTTCTTTTTTTTTTTTGAGACAGGTTCACTCTCATCACTCAGGCTGGAGTGCAGTGGTGCGATCTCAGCTCACTGCAACCTCTGCCTCCCAGGTTCAAGTGATTCTCCTGCCTGAGCCTCTCAAGTATTTGGAATTACAGGTGCCTGCTCCCACACCAGGCTAATTTTTGTATTTTTAGTAGAGATAGGGTTTCTCCATGTTGGCCAGGCTGGTCTCGAACTCCTGACCTCAGGTGATCTGCCTCCCTCAGCTTCCCAAAGTGCTGGGATTACAGGCATGAGCCCCAGCATCTGGCCTCCCTTTGCCATTTTCTAAGTTCTTGCTGCACTCATTTATTACTGTGTTTTCAATTAGCATCACCACTCAGAATTTTTATATCTGTTGACTTATAAATTTCCCCACCTAATTTTAATGTAAAATTAACTAAGTTTTCTTTATTCTGCCTTTTGTTCCTTTTGTTCCACTTGGTAGTCCTCTAGTCAGTGCCTACCGCAGAGGGCAAAAGAGAATGAGTTCATTTTATAATAAAATAATTATTCACTTTGCATATGAACAGTTTTGCCAGGCAGTGAAAGCAGATGACAAGCTGAACTCTTAATCAGAAATCAGGTTAGGATTGCTAAAATGATTTATGGATTCATTTGTTTTTGCTGATGAATCTTTTGTCTTAAATTTCAAATTAGCTTGAGAAAAGCATTTTTAAGGGGTACTACTTATAACACATTCAGCCTTTTTCTTAATGTATGTCATACAAAGTCAGGTAACCAATATTAAATAACAAATTCTAATTAATTCACCTAAACACATTTAGCTGTGAAATACAAATTGAATTTGAACAAACCTCAATAGGCAAATATTCTACAGGTGAGGGGAGAAACAAGAGGAGTAAAAGTAGAGAAGAATTCTAGCACATTCCACCCTTTCTTCCTCTCCTTTAAGCTTCTGGTTACCTGTAACAATGACATTGGGTCTAGATGAGCTTAATTTTAATATCATAAGAATATGTATAAATACCCTATTTTGGACTTCTTAAACTAATCCTCAGCAACTTTCATGAGACATACAAATCTAAAATTTGAAAAGTCAGATTAAATAGTTTGTTTGGGCAATGATGACAGACATATGTCCATACGGAGGTCTGTGATGCTACATTATTGTTTAACTGAACTCTTCGGGGCGAGTCTGCTGCTTTTTCTTGCATATAAACACTCTAACATGCTTGTGAGTTTACTTGTAAATATTTTGAATTTATTTTATAGCCAATAGTATTGATTGATTAAATGGCATATTAAATAGTCTCTATTTTATCTTTAGATGATGATTATCTGGTAAAGAACATTCCACCAGAGGCTGAAGAGCTGTCGTTTGAAGTCTCTTATTCAGAAATGGTTACAGAGGCTCTAAAAAGAAATAAACTTAAGAAATCAGAGATTAAGAAAGAAGACTATGTTTTAACTGTAAGCAAAACCTTTCATGATTATTCCAGAAACTGCCTGTGACTTCTTCATGGGACAAAACTAAGATTTCTCTTTAAATATCTCTGTATGTGCACAAGGGGTTTCGGGAGGCCAGGCATCAGTGTTCATATCGCCATTTGAGGTGTTATTTGGGCACCAATTGTTGTGCAGTGCACAGCCTGCCTGGCTGTCCCTGGCATTCCTGTGTTGAGGAAAAGTTGTGAGGCTGTGTGCATGAATACTACAGTACTTTACAAATGAAATAGGATTCTACCTGGCTTGTGTGCTTTCTTGCACTTGATATTCTTACTTTACTTATGCATCAGTGCAGACCCTAACTTTACACACTTCTGCCTCTATAAGCCACATATTCAGAAAAGGGCACTGCAAACAGTCACAGTTCTAAGAAGTGAGAGCTCATGGGTCAGACAACAAAAACATATCAAAACCAATTCAAGACATGTATTATTACACGATGGACAAAGATGGCTCCATACTTTGTTACCCTCAAAGTCTCTTTATTTACATCCAGAATGTTATATCTAGGAAGCCTGATAGAGATCTATGTTACGTTGGTCTATTTGCCATTCAACTACTGCATGTGAAAAAGTTTATCATGTGGAGTCCCGAATACTCTGTGCTGATCAGGGTCGGAGGCATGATGAGCAGGGCCCAGGCAGTTTCAGAGCTAAATAAATGAGTCATCCAGAAACAGACTTTTTGTACCAGGTAACTTTGAACATTCCCAAACTGCCATCCCATGACAGAGGAGAGGAAGAGGAAGAGAAGATCTCTAGGACTCACTGGATACCTTCTACGGGCCTGACACTGTACTAAGCACTCTGTTAATAATGTAAGGTAGACCCTCTTGATTTTACAGCTGAGGAAAGAGGCCCAGAGAAGCTAAGTAACATGTCCAAAGCCCACAGCTAGTGGGAAGCAGAAATAGGATTTGAAAGTAAATGTGTCCAACTTCACAACCCTTCCTGGTCCCCAAGCAATCTCCAGGTTAGACAGCAACTTATAGTGATCTAGGGAAAAGACAAGCCTACAGGACTCTGGTTTCACGGGGAGCCCCTCCTTATCTTAAAGAGAGGCAGCCAAGGGAGGATGCTGGCTCAGCATCTCCTAATCGAAGCCAGCTCCTTCTGAGGTTTGGCTATTCCCATGACGAACTTTGCATAGGATTTAGCACATAGTAGTTGCTCAATATGTAATTGCAATTTTTTGTTTATATTGTTGTTATGTGTTACCGTTACATGAGGACTTAGCCTCAGAAAGAAGGTAAACTAGCTAAGCATTTAATAGCACAAGGCATTCCTCAAACCACATCCTACATTTTATTTTTAAATATTTGGGGTTCCAAGGAGCAATTATTGAATGAGTAATGAATGAATGAGTAGATTGTTTGAATACCCCAAGGAAGCTTCAATGTAGGCAATTCTTATGGAAAATGTGAACTTAAAGCTTTATAATTTAAATGTAAGTGTTTGTAATTTAACCTGTGGGATTTTTTTATTTACTTTGGCACTTTTTCAATACTACTCTTTCTGAGGGCAAAGTGAACCCGTGGATATTATATAAGAACAATCTTTTGCTTCTAAAAGGTCTTGCTGCTTACATTCTTCACGGTATTTCTGGATTGTTAAGGATTTGCTGCTGCTGTTGTTTTAGTGTCATTTGTTTCTTAGCGTGAAAATAGAGAATGCGTCATTATCTCTGTGTTCAAAATGATAGTAGAATTATTTGCACTTTCCCTGGATTTTGCTTTAAGAATTTGGAACCATTTAAATTTGATTTTTATGGTAGAATAACTGTTGTCTCAGCAAGCAGGTGTAATCATTTACACTGGGAGATTACTAAGAGTCTCTTAAGTGTGCAGTATGAGATAGATAAACCCTGATTTAAAGACTGACTTTCCAAGAAGAAAAAAAAAAAAACATACGTTTAGAGCTCTCCTGGGATATACCTAAGTGTATTGCCTGGTATGTGTGTGTCACATGTAATTCCAGTTAAGGGCTATGGTGTGTGCATTCCATGTGGTGCCTGACATGTATATTGCTTGACAGTATCGGGTGTTCCTTATAAAGAAGGCAGTTTCCACAGTTGCAATAGCAATGTTATCATATGCTTTAGACTACTGTTTTGCTTCTAATTAGCATAGCAGTGATCTGCAAATGGTCTGAATCACATATTCAGATTTCCAGGATGCAGCATGCTCCTTAGAGATGTTTTGCAAATAACATGTTCTGCTGCATAGATTTAGAGTGTCCAGGTGGCATTTGAGTGAAGGTATAATAATTTTCCTTTGCCATAAAAAATAAATATCTTCACTGCGTGTTTTAGAAATTCATTGTTCAGAAAACCAGATTTGGCTTAACGGAAGCAGGAGATCTGTCTGCTGAAGACATGAAGAAAATCCGCCATCTCTCTCTGATTGAATTGACAGCCTTTCTTGATGCCTTTGGAATTCAACTGAAAAGAAACAAAACAGAGAAAGTTAAAGGACGAGGTAACTAACAAGACTGATTGCTTCCGGCTTTAACACTTTGACACAGTGGAATAAGATAGTGCTTTGCTGATTCTTTTTCATTTCCCCCTTTACTGTCTCACCATGAAGACAGTGGGATTTTTGGAGTTCCGCTTGCAGTCCTCCTGGACAGTGATCGAAAGAAAGACCCTGGAGTGAAAGTTCCCCTGGTGTTACAAAAAGTGAGTAGCAGGCAAATGAAAGGAGATTCACAGAGCCTCGCGCTTATGGTTTGGTACTTTGTAAATACACAGATACATTTTCTTTTAGATTTAAAGACACTAATGCCTTCTTAGGACTCAGGCCCCTGGTGATTTTCAGCTTTATTCCATGTACCACACAACGACCCACAGTGCCTGGACTGTGGTGATGGACACAGATACTCTGACCCAGGGCACAGTTACATTTTTTCCAGTATTTTTTCAAATGTTATTTGTGCATATGAATGTGTTTGTGTGTGTATTTATTTGATTATTCTGTCTAGATAAAGTTGAACATTAATTATTAACGATGCATATATAAATAGAAAAGTATTTTCTGAAATATAGGCTGGGTTTTAAACATATGTATATGTGTAGTCATTTTATCAATTTTCCAAACAAAGTTTAATAAAGTCTAAAAACCAGCATGTTCTGGTCACTTTCCGTTGTGACTGGGCAGACAGGATACATTTAGACAAACAGCATGATTTTGTGGAAGGGGTTTTGGAAATGATATTATCTGAACTGTAAAATGCTGATATCTCTGTGACTATTGTTGCGGAATACCCGATTTGCTTTTAAGTAGTGCTGTTTTATAGCCAACAATTTACACCGGTTTTTACCTGAGTGTGCATTTATTCCACAGTGACATCCAGTGGCACAATTAAAATCCCTAGTCCCTAACACAAATCTAGTTGAATTTTAACTCAAGTTTTTAAATGATATTTTAAAATATTGTCTAAAGAAACACATACCTACCTGACACTGACAATTGTACATCATTTGTTGAGCTTCCTATATTTTACTACCAGTGCCTCAAATGGAGATACTTCTCAAGTCAGGTGACTGGCTGGAGATAGGAGCTGGGAGGATGGCACCCAGATGGCCAGAGGATACAGGCAGCACCTTTGTGCACAGGGGCCCTCTGTGGGTGACTTCCGTAGGCAGGGCTGTGTCGGTGCTGTCCATGAAGTATCATGTCTAGTTAGCACGGAGCAGCCCAAGGAGGCTGGTGTTACCATCGCCCTTTTACTGATGAGGCAGCTGAGGACTCGGAGAGTGAGATAACTTACGCAAGACACACAGTCAGCAAGAGATGGAGGGGGAAGAGGAGCACAGCATATAGCAAAGTTCAGAGTCCATGGTGACTCTGAGATGTTCTTTCCTTCACTGAGTTAAAATCAGAATTTTCTTTGCCCTGTATGTAAAAGATAGAGTTTGAAATATTCATCAAAATCAAAGACAGACATTTCAGGACATAAGTTTACAATACTGTGTAAGTACAAGAATTTAGCATAGAACTTAGCACTTAGAAAGTACTTAATAAATGCTAAACTAGATCTGGATTTCTATCATGTTAGCAGCATGTTAGCTGTAGTACTACTGGATGTTAAGTGTTCCTCGTTATGACACCTCAAGATACTGTTCTCCCACTCCTACAAGAGAGGCTTTTCTTACAGACGTGGTTCTTCTTCCTAAATCTATTTATCTTCATACCTAAAAGAATTACCTTAGTTCCAGGCACCATCCACCGTCATTTCTTGAAAGGAAAATAGCAGAGATGTTGGATCCCCTTCTTACTGGGCAAGCTTGGCCAAGCTATTATCCATTCCAGAGATGCACTATGATCTGCTTTCTTATAGTGAATTGAACTGTTTCACTTAGTCTCCTCAGCAGTAGAATAGGGGTAATGATCCCACCTGCTTCATAGGTAATGATCCTACCTACTTCATAGGGTTATTGTGATGATTAAATGAGTTAATGGAGGTAAAGGACTGAGAATAGGATTTTACACATAATAAATGCACAATAAATGGTAGTGTTTATGACTTTTTTTAACACCCATCCCCATCGCAAGAACTCATAAAATCATTACCTCATCTAAACTCTTTGGTCAGACATCTAGAATTCCTATAGTTTCTTAGTCAGAGTGATTACAACCAATGACAGTAGATTTAGAATCTTTTGTTACTGACCAGTCTGCAGAAAGAGTTGTAGGAATCAGATCTTAAAAAGGTTAAGAGGCATATATAATTTTAGAGCAGTTAACAGCATGAACTTGAGTTGTTGCCATTACTTACGAGGCTGATCTTAGGAGAGCTTTATAACTACTATCAATCTGTATTTTCTCATTTGCATATTGGAGAATAATGTTGACATCATAGGATGGCTGTGAACATTAACAAAGCATTCAAGCGCCAGGCACGTATATATGCTTGGCAACTTACTGATTCATATCATCGTTGTTATTATTTTAGATGTTTGTAATCACATACAGGTACTTACTCTTGTACTATATCATTGCTTTCTAGTTTTTTGAGAAAGTCGAGGAATCGGGTCTGGAATCTGAAGGAATTTTTCGACTTTCGGGATGTACCGCTAAAGTCAAGGTATTGAACATGTTGTCTCTTCCTAGGTAGCGTTCTAAGCTGGCTAGATCCAGTTCACACAAGCACTGGGTATCCAGCGCTTTGTTGTTGTTTATTAGATATTATCGCTTGGTTCTTCCTAGTATTCCTTGGTACCTGTGGTGAAATGTTTGTTCCAGAGTTTTTTCATGATCCAGAATTTTAAAAATCCAAACAGCAACATTAAAAAAACAAAAACAACAATGAAGCAGCACATCAATTCACCTTGAAAAGCTGCTGCTTGTCTTTAATTTGGAAAAGTTGAACCATCTTCCCACTGTTTTGGAGGTTAAACGCCTTAGTTTGTTGTGTCCTCTCAGTCATGGAATTCACTGAGCCAATATTATATGAGCCTTTATTTCCATCATTCATTGCTTTAAACATTGTTTGGCTGTCCCTTTAGTGAAAGTTGTTACAGTAATTTGTAGCAATGGCTGTAACCACTAGATTACTCACTCAGCAGTTCCAAAACCCGGTTCCACTTATGGTAATGTTAACATCCACATCTAAAACCAGCTGTTCAGTGTGAATCTTGTTCCTCTGCTTTCTTAATTCCATGAGATGGCAAACTCTACAGTACAGTAAAGTAAAAAATTATTAGAAAAGAAAAGCTTTTGTCATAAAAATGCAGCGAAACATCACACTGTGTCTGCGGGTAGGTGTTCACCGTGGAGTTCATTCCTGCGGTTGGATCACTCCCTGGCTTGCAGACCTGAAAACCTGAGCAGTTTTAGAAGATGGATCCGTGAGCAAACAGTCTCAGGGGTAGGGGAAAACAAATGTGGTAATGTTTATCAAAAGGAAATTTTTAGAGGCAAAACAGCATCTCTTCATTAAATAATTTTAGTACATGTTTTGGGAAATTCTATTTCTATCAGTCTCGGAGTTTTTATATAGGAGCGTGATGAGAGGTTTTTCTAACAGGAAACTGAGAATAGATAGGCTATGTCTATTGGACTCTCCAGAAAGCTGATGCTGAGATGGGTGAGGAGCAGAGGAGCGTCATGGCAGTAGTGCTTCTGAAGGATGAAAGGGGCAGGAATCAGGATTGACCAGGGTGAGGCCCCGACCACACTGGAGGTCTGACAATTCCTCACCATGGAGGAGCCACGTGCTGCGCAGAATCGGCCAGGCCCTAGTACCCCTGCCTCACCCTATCTTGGGCTGGGGCATCCTGTGGAAAATACGGCTGAGCCACATCCAGAAGGGGCCAGCAGCTGCGAGAGTCTGCTGCCTGGGCTTTTGCAGAAGAGGGCAAGGTTTCCCGTGAAGGAAGTCAGAGCAGGGCACCAGGGCATCAGGGCCCCGGGCATGCTGAGGAGTTACGACGTCCCTGAGAGTGGAGTTGGCTGAATCCCGGCACAAGCTCTTGTGGAAGGCAGGGAAATGCCCAGCGGTTCCTTAAGGCTCATGCTTTCTGAATTCAGTCTGCCTTTTGCCTCCGTTTCTCATGTGTTTGGTTCTTACATACACTTCTAAGCACATGTATACTACATTTAAGGATGAAATTACTTATTTTGGTTAAATCTTTGGTTATATCTACAGAGTCAGAGAACCAAAATGAAAGAAACAAATTTCCTAAACAGAAACAGATTCCATCTCTTGAAACCTCCCTCCGTGATTGGGAAACTGTATTTGCACATATTCTTACTGGTTCCTCTGTGTGTGTGTGTGCGCGCGGGCACACACATGTGCATAGGTGTATAAAATTTATAATGGGTATGATTTAAAAGTCCTATTTTTAAGTCACCCAAAGGAGAAAACATTACAGGACATTTCTTGTGTGCACAGAGTTTAACATTATAGCAACAGTTACTTTTCTTTGGCTAATACTCCACTGAAAAATGCTCCTCGAAGGCCAATCATTCCTTCGTAATGTTCTTACAGGCACTTGCATTTCTGAACCACATATAGGTCAAAGTCTTTTCTCCCCTACCCAGTTTTATGTAGTTTCAGCCTATTTATTCCATCACCTATTAGTGGAAAATGTAATCCAGATGTTTTCATGGTCTGAGCCCCAGGAAGGCCAATGTGAAAGAAATCTGGGCAAGTGAACAGAAACTAGGCAACACTGCCATTAGAAAGGCATTGAAATATGATGCATTAAAGTGATCTTTATTCCTCTCCTTTATTCAAACTTTTCATTTAAACTACCTCCTTTTTTGTAATTCATCCACTGAACTACTAAAAACTCCATGATAATTATCCTCGAATTGGGCCAAGTTGTTGATACCAGCCCTGTGGTCCGCTAGTGTGTCATTACTGTGAACAGTCTGGCCTGGCTTTGTGCTTTAAACATTTGGGGAGGCTGATGGGAGAAGCAGCCTGGGAGGAAGCTGCTGGTTTCAGCCAAACAGGGAACACGCAGCTGCAGAGCCAAGTCCCAGACTTGAGGCCTCGGCTCATTTGGAACCAATTTAATGCTTTGGTTGGTGTTTGCAGTGATTTTCTTTTCAAAAATGACAGAAATTTGAGCCAAACACCAGGGAATACATTTTATGGAAAGAGGCCGACTGTTTGACATGTGAGATTTTCTTTTTTGACTAGTTTGAATCATTCCAAGGCTGTTCTAAATGTTTTATAATTACCTCACCTGGCTTATTTAGGCTGGTTATTTGCATTTGTATGAAACTACCTCAGACAGAGAAGCAGGTTGCATTTTTACTGAAGAGAGATTTAATGACAAGACTTCTTATCCTTGCCTAGTGCTCTCAGTAACAGGGGTCAGAAAAACCTGACTTCTGAACCTCTAAGTGCTCCCTGTCTTCTGCAAGGTAAAGTCACACCTGGTTGACTTGGCTTCACATCGGGACCACCACTGAAATGTCAGCTCTGTTCAGAACCAAAAAAAGGCATTCTTTCTCTCAGTGTTGCTTTATACCAGCCATCCAGACAAGATGACATGGTATTATTCCCCAAGTAATCACACCGCATTCGCGTGGGGTTCCCATAGCAATAACAATGCAGGTTAGAATAGACCTGAGAGTGGGGGAGGGGCAAGCAGCCCGTGCGGTGTTTATTGAGTGCTGTCAGCATGGCAGGCCCTGTCCGGTGAGCTCTACATGATATTATTTGTTTTGATCTTGAAAATGTCATTTTAATACTCCATTGTACAGTGAGAAGCTTGAGGCACAGACCATATATCCTAGCCAGTTGCAGAGTTTGATAAAAGCCTAAAGGATCTGGTTGTGGCGCCTCCTCTTGACCCTGGTGCCCTGTTGCCCCTTAGGTGACTGGGAACCACTCACATGTTAGGACAACCACATTGCTGATTCAGATAGATCCCTTTGGCAGAGGTATGTGGAAAACAAATCTGAATTATCTTGCTGGGGCTTCCTGTGCACTTGGAATCCAACAGTGTCTCCTTTGCTTTACTGCAGTGGTACCAGGCAGTTGATGGGAAATGCTTACTCCTCCTCCTGTATTTTTCTTATTAACAGCACTGCCATCTGCCCATTACAAGTCAGTGGAAATCATCTTGGAAAATCATCTTGGATGATTATTTCTCCCTCTGAGTCTCATGTTCAATCCATCACTGATTCTTGAGAATTTTTCCTCCTGGGCGTTTCTTTAATGCCTCCTCTCCTTTTTATCCTGCAACTGTTTATCCAGATTAGCCCCTAGTCATCCGTCCCTGGAAATGGTGCCACGGCCTGATAACTGGGTTCTTTGCCTGTCACTTGCTTCCACCCACCCGACCTGTGCCTAGCTCTACACTCCCCCAAATCATTTTTCCATGTGGCTGTCAGAAAAGATCAATCGACCCTTGCCATTCCTTGCTTAGAGATGTTCCAGGCTCCCTCATTGCCTACAGGGTGAAGGCTGGTCCCCTTAGCACTGGTGGTGGCTGCTCTCCAGTCTCATTCCTTGCTCCAGATGTGCCAGCAACGCTGAATGAACTGGAGTTCCGCAGACACACTGGGTCTGCTGGCGTTTGTATCACTGCTTGAGCAGGATGCCCTTCTATTTCCTCTTCCCTGTAACCCTCAAGACTTGGCCCTAGCAGAGTTTGACTTCTCTCTTTCCTGGCTGCATAGCACCAGTACCTGACTTTTTTTATAGCATGTACACTCTGAATTAGTAGTACTCGCTCATGAAATAGTCCCACTCACTAGACTACAGGACACCTGAAGGCAAAGAATGGATCTCATGCATTCTCCTCTTTCCAGAGGCCCCTCTATCTCTTTCATTCTAGGAGGAACTTTATGCTTAAGATTTTGTGAAGTGTATTTATCACCAAAGGGTTTCTTGATTAGCTAAAGTATTCCTATAAGATCGAAAGCTTCTCCAGGAAAAGAAGAAAATCTCCTTTTGATGTTATTGGTAGGGGTGAGAGGGTACATCAGAATCACATATGTCTCTGTAAGAAACTTGTGCTGCCAGGATCCTCCAGTTTGCAGGCTCTGGGAGCCGAGAGAGTGATTGTCTGGCTGGTTAATGAGCTGATCCTTGTTAGGAAAAGGTCAGATGTGCACGCTGACTCTGGCTGTGTATGCTCAAGGCCAGAAGAATTAGGCTTCTCGTGAGAATAAAGCAGAGGTCTTAAAGAAACAGAGCTTTTAGAGTTCCTTTTCTTCATATCCTTTCTGGAGCAGTTAGTGTCAGCCAGGAGACTGACTGTAACTGGCTGGCATTACAGGTAAACCTTGTAGTTCAAAGGAGCCGGAAAAAATGAGTCTGCCTTTGAAAAGAAACATGAAGCCTGAGTGGCATCGATAATCAGATCAGTTAATAATGTAAAATTTGTAAGCCAAGTAGAACTTACCGAGGCTTAGAGATTTTTTAAAAGGTATTTGTACAGTGTTCCAAACCTTACGAAGGACTGGGCAAGCATGCAAACATGTGGAAGACATGTGTCTGTCTTGGAATAAAGCTTTGCTGTCACTGCTCCAGGAAGATGTCATAGGTTTGCATGTTGCAGCAAGGTCAGAGTTACTTTATTGGGTTATTTCTCATTCTGTATGTGAAGCGGCTGAGAGGCAAACCTTCTTGATCTAATTTAGAGATGGAAGAGAGGGTGGCAGAAGGGATTCTGAAAAGTGGGGGAACGGAGACTTTGTCAGAATCTAGCAATGCATTTATCATGTGGGAACAGTGGTATTCTGCCAAAACCACAGAAATGAAACCGTGATCAGAGTAGAGAACTTCTATACTTGTGTAGAATTAGAAAATTATTTCCAGATTAACAGTATTTTAGAAATATTTTAGAAAATGCTTTTAAAAATTCATCCTCAACTAGCTATTTCCCTTAATCATGTTGAAAAAAATTACTCTTAGTAGACATTACCTTACCAGTCTGTTTACAAAAATATAAGAACAGTTTTTAAAGGGGAAAATGGGGTCGGGTGGTAAAAACGCATTGAATACTGACTGTTTTCCTTGATTTACAGCAATACCGTGAAGAACTGGATGCCAAGTTCAATGCTGATAAATTTAAATGGGACAAAATGTGCCATAGAGAAGCTGCAGTAATGTTGAAAGCATTTTTCAGAGAACTACCCACCTCTCTCTTCCCTGTGGAATATATACCTGCCTTCATCAGTCTAATGGAAAGTAGGTAGAAGATTTTAAATGTGAATGCACTAAGATATAAGGTCAATAAAGTGAGGGCAGAAGAGATATGCTAAATCAAATGTGCTCATGCATAGATTTGCTGAGCCCTGACAGTGCTTGGTGAAATATTAAGTTTGGTGGTAAACAGTCATCTACTTACATACTTATATCCTGAAACCTGGTTTAGAGGGTTTTATCATCATTAAAAGGCAGAGGGGTTTGCAGGCTCTTGAGATTTAAATTCCTGTGCAACCATCTGTTAGCCATGCAGTCAAACCTTCTGAGGCTCAATTACTACATCTGTAAATTTGAGATAATAATTACTTGTCAGGGTTGCCATGGGTATTGAATGAAGTCATTTAGAATAGAGCCTGGTGTGTGATAATCCATTAAAAATACAAGATTACTTCTTTTCTTAAATCTGAGGTCCTGGGACTGATGATGCAGGATGCAATAAATACAACACAGAAGATAATCTGTTTCTGAAAATTACAAAGTCATATAGATTAGGTCTTTAAGTGAAGTATATGGGTAAAAGCACAAAAACTGTAAAGTGTGTGTTGTAATTGACAAGGAATTATTTGGCATGGTTTGAGCATAAAGATTGACTATTGTGGAGGATGTAACAAGAGAAAAGTCTGGAAAAGTAGAATGGGGGTACATAGTGGGGGCTTTAACTATTAACCTGGGGAGTTCAGGGGTCACAAGTCTAAATATGTATGAACCTGCTAAGTAAACGTTGATTCTACGTGGACCAAAAAGGGCTGTGTCCAAACCGAGAGGACATACCCCATCTAGAGACATTGGCCACTGCTTGGTTCTCGATAATGATTGCTGTGCCAGACTGAGAGCCAAATCCAGGCTTTAATGGGGAAACTTTTAATGTGAGAATGTCAACCACTGTGTTGTTGTCGCTGTTTTGAGACAGAGTCTTGCACTGTTGCCCAGGCTGGAGTGCAGTGGTGCGATCTTGGCTCACTGCAACCTCTGCCCCCAGGGTTCAAGCTATTCTCCTGCCTCAGCCTCAAGTAGCTGGAATTACAGGCACCTACCACCACGCCTAGCTGATTTTTGTATTTTCAGTAGAGACGGGGTTTCACCATGTTGGCCAGGCTGGTCTCAAACTCCTACCCTTAAGTTGTCTGCCCACCTCAGCCTCCCAAAGTGCTATGACTACAGGTGTGAGCCACCACGATCGGCCCAGCCACTAATTTAAATTTTAAAATGTTGTGTGAACTTAACAAGTTATGTCTGTATCTGCCAATTTACAGCCTTCTGCAGGTTGGCCAGAACTACAAAATCACTAAAATAGATCATAAGTTGTAAGACAAAATTTGTCCTAAAAATTATGTAGCTTATAAATCTTTGAATTTTCTAACTAAACCAGATTCATAAAATAATCTTTCATGTCTTAAAAAAAGAGAATATGGCAGGCAAGGCAGGTGTTTCCTAAGCTTTAATTCACACGCTGTCCACTACCAGTATCTCTTTTCTTCGTAAGATTACTGTTTTTATTTTATGAGAAAAACTTGCTGAGAAAGACAGAAGAGCTACTAATTTCCTTCATCCTTTTTTTATTTTAGATATTGTATTTTTTTCAGTTCTAGAATTTTCAGTTGGTGTTTTTAAAATACTTTCGGTTTTTCTGTTGAAGTGACCTATCTTTTCATTCATTATATTTTCCTTCACATCATTGAGTACAGTTACAACAGCTGCTTCAAAATTCTTGCTGGCTAGTTCTAACACCTGGATTATCTCAGGGTTGGGCTCTGACTTCTTTGAGAATGGGTTATACTTTCCTGTTATTTTGTATGTCAAGTAAGTTTAAAGCCTATTCTGAACATTATGAATATAGTGTTTGGAGACTGTGGATTCTGAAGTATTTCTCCAAAAAAATGTTGTTTGGTTTCTCTTCCTATTGTTGCTCTTTTAAACAGGCAGTTTGCTTGACCGGACTGGAATTGCCAGTGGTCTTTTGGGCAGGAGCTCAACTCTCTGTTCAGTTGTTCAATCCTTCACTGTGTTATCCCACGCACGCATGGGGGAGTTTGTGGGTCACCCAGAGATTTGGGTGTTTATACCAGAATTAGGGCCTTTTATCTTTGGATCACTCATTTGGTGTTTTTTGTTTTTTGTTTTGTTTTGTTTTGTTGGTATTCTGAACTATGCAAGGACGATTCAAACCTCTAATTCCAGATCTATTCAGAGAATCATATTTAAGAAAGACATATAAATATATTGGTTTTCATCCTCTGAAATATTCAATCCTTATATTCAAACCATGCCAAAGGGTTCACAAAGGAGTCCACATTTCTTCATATGACTTTGAAGGTGAAAAATACTGTATTGCAGGTGGTCGATTTGATACCAGCGAACCCTGCAGGAAGCCGAAGTTCTGGCCTGCTACCAGCAGGCAATAATGGCCTTTTTTGCCACCTAAGTAAGCTCTAGTTGTAACAAGGTTTTCTGACGGGGAGGATTGTGAACATATGTGTGCGTGCGTGTGTGTGTGTGTGTGTGTGTGTGTGTGTGTGTGTTTTTAAGCTGTCCCTCTCAATACCCTCAAATGGAGCTCAGAACACAGAGCCTTTTCCACTAATATCATTACTTTCTCTTTTCAAACTTGGCCCCAAACTTGCCCATAAAATTAAAGGACTAGTAGTTCATCAATCAAGCCTCAGATGCTTTCATTACATGCTTAATAACTTTCTTTTTTTTTTTTTTTTTGAGACAGAGTCTCACTCTGTCGCCAGATGCCAGGCTGGAGTGCAGTGGCACAATCTCGGCTCACTGCAACCTGCGCCTCCCGGGTTCAAGCAGTTCTCCTGCCTCAGCCTCCTGAGTAGCTGGGACTACAGGCGCACGCCACCACGCCCAGCTAATTTTTGAATTTTTAGTAGAGATGAAGTTTCACCATGTTGGCCAGGATGGTCTTGATCTCTTGACCACATGATCCGCCCGCCTCGGCCTCCCAAAGTGCTGGGATTACAGGCTTGAGCCACCATGCCCCCCCATGCTTAATAACTTTCTGGGGGAAGTAATGACCTGAGGAGAAAGAATACTCTCGACTGGCATGTATTAAATGAATTAACTACAAAACTGTTAACCACAAAACAGTGTTGGGCCAGGCTTCCTAAGCAAAATGAAAATGGATTATTTGCCAAATTAAACTTAATCTTAAAGGAGCTTCATGGTTTCTCTGAAGTTAATGGAAACACAGTAGTCTCAATCCTACATCTGCATCTCTTGGTTTTTTTTCCCAGTAGTTTTTTTGTTTTTTTAAATTGCATTGGAAAATTAGAGACAGTCCTCAGCCTGCAGTTTATACACTAACATAATGTCTTATCTGCCCCTAAATGCTTTGCACTGAGACTTGCTCTTAAAGTTTCTATTATTCAGGCAAACCCACATCAATATATTTGCCATTTTCAGTAACACTCTGGACCTGTGTTATTATAAATTTGATACAAGTATCTACAAATCCGCACGTGGATTTTGCTTCAGCAATATGATCCTCTCTCTCCCCCCATATTACTTGGTTGTATACACTTGTCACTGGTAACCTAGTAGCTTGTCACAAGTGTTTCCACTGCTAAACGGCTCAGTTAACTTCACCGGCAGCTGACTGCCTTCTAGCCATTGAATAGACATAGATAGATTTTCCTTCAACTTGAGAACCCCCCAGGGATTCCAGAACATAATGCTTTCCTCCAGGAACTCCCCACCAAGACACCATTTTCAAGAGAATACAGACAGCCAAAGGAGAGCCTAGATTCCCTGGTGTACTCTAAATTTTTAGCACAGCTGGCAGTGGATTAGCCAGCTGTGGATGGAATCCCCGAGTCTAAATGCCAACCCTCTGGCGCCATCTTGTGTCACTATTGAGGAGTAAAATCACCTTCCCTAAGTGTCCATGGAAGATCTAGCTTAAGTGTCATAGATCATAAAAACAAGAGCAAACATGTAGAAAGATAACTAGGTACCGGTACTGATTTAAACACTCTACATATATTAACTCATTTAATCCTCATAACAGCCTGTGAGATGACTATTCCCATTCTACAGTTAATAAAGTAAATGGGGCAGGGATTAAATAACCTGCCCAAGGTCACATGGCAACTACATAGTAGATGAGGATTGGAACCTTGTTCTAAATCTGTGTTCCTAATACTTGTACTCTTCTGCCTTATCATATGGAAGCAAGGTTTATTTTCTCTTGTGTTGAGCTTAACTTCTATTTGTAGTATTAAAGGAAGGGAAGGTCTGCTAAAGTACTTTGAAAGGGAAGTGCTATAAAAATCCAGAATTATTCTGAGGATCTCCTGGGCCACCTGCCTCAACAATGGCAACATGGGATGGGAAAAGAGAGTTGATGGACGGAGGCTCCTGTCCAAGTGAACAAATTTACATTGCTGGGCACAAAACCTGAGTCTTTACCAATAAAAGCTGTCAGGAGCTCTCCTGTGCCTCCAGATGCTAGCAAGAGATGCTGTCGGGATGCATCAGTGTTATTGCAGATGTATGACTATTTCTGTTTTCTTGTTAGGAGGGTCTCATGTCAAAGTACAGTTTCAAGCCTTACACCTCATGGTCATGGCGCTGCCTGATGCCAACAGAGATACAGCTCAGGTACGTCCCATCCGCCTCCCAGTCTGTCATGAGGCTCTTATTGCTCATAGGACGTGGGTCATATAGGAAAATGAAAATGGAGATACAGCTCACTGAGCCACCAGAGTGTGCTGCAAACACATGGTCTTTCTGTGTCCCCACTGCCTTTCTCCTGAGGAAGACAAGAATGAGTGGGGATCTTGGTATCTTCTTCTTTTTCTTTTTCTCTTTTTTTTAGAGACAGAGTTTTGCTTTGTCACCCAGGCTAGAGTGCAGTGGCATGATCACAGCTCACTGCAGCATTGACTTCCCAGGGCCAAGTGATTGTCCCATTTCAGCCTTCCAGGTAGCTGGAACTACGGGCATGTGCCACCACACCCAGCTGTTTTTTTGTAGAGACAGGGTTTCATCATGTTGCTCAGGCTGGTCTCAAACTCCAGGGCTCAAGAGATCCTCCTGCCTCAGCCTCCCAAAGTGCTGGGATTACAAGTGTGAGCCACCATGCCCGGGGTGGTATATTCTTCTTTTTTTTTTTTTTGGGATGGAGTTTCACTCTTGTTACCCAGGCTGGAGTGCAATGGCGCGATCTCGGCTCACCGCAACCTCCGCCTCCTGGGTTCAGGCAATTCTCCTGCCTCAGCCTCCTGAGTAGCTGGGATTACAGGCACGCGCCACCATGCCCAGCTAATTTTTTGTATTTTTAGTAGAGACAGGGTTTCACCATGTTGACCAGGATGGTCTCGATCTCTTGACCTTGTGATCCACCCGCCTCGGCCTCCCAAAGTGCTGGGATTACAGGCTTGAGCCACCGCGCCCGGCCTATTCTTAAACATTTAAGTTTCATTCACTCTTCATCCCAGAGATATTGACTGTCTATCTTGTGTCAGGCACTGGGCAACGTGTTAGGAGTAGGAGAAGAGGTAAAGATGAGGGCTTGAGTGGAACAGTGTCAGAAGTCAATAAGACCGTTATGTAACTTGTGAAATAGATTCTATAATTGCTGGTCCTCAGCTACTCATGTTAGTCTGGTGTACTGAAGTGGAAAGAAAACGCTGATGAGTGTCCTGGGGGAGGAATTTGAAATCACTGGTTTAAATTATATTTCCAACATGTTCACATTTTTAAATTTGTGAAAGTAATTCAATTTAAATAGTTCTACAATTTCAGAATTTTAGAGATCATCTGATAGAATTTGGTCATTTTCCATATTAGGAAAATGAAACTCAGAAAAGTGATTTCTCCTCTAATATATAATAGAACATTTGATAGAATCATATTCTAGTTCCTCATCCCCATTTTTCTCTCTTTATTCCACATTCATGCTTTGCTGTATTTTGGTAAAAATCAAAGTTTCTCTTGCTCTCTGGACAATCATTCTATATACAATAGAAATTTGTTTTAAGCACAACAGGTATTTGGAATCTTTGAAATGAAATTGAGATAAGGATGAGTTGAAAAGAGACTGCAATTTTGAGGTCAGTAAATATAATTCTGAAAACAAAGATGGTTCTTACCGCTGCCTTTTATCAGGCATTTCAGTGTGGTGAGAACCTTCCTCCTACACAGTGAAAATATCTATGTCAATTACAATATATGTCAGTCATATTATATCCTCAAGGCAAAGAGGGGGATCAGCTATGACATAAAAATGTCCTTTTCTAATATAATTCTGTAATTTTTCAAAAGCTGAAAATTTATTATCTTGGTTTTTGGCTTTGTCTACACAGTGTTCTTTTATTAGAAAAATCCTTCTGGTATCAAATATCTGAGACAAAATGTCCTCTACCCTTTCATACAACTGAGGATACAGCAATTATCAAATAATTCAACACATTTCTAACAAAAGGTTTCCCCAGAACATCACAGGACCTGAGGATGTTATACACATGTGTTTCTCTCTCTCTCTTTCTCTCTCTCTCTCTTTCTCTCTTCCTTCTCCTCCTCCTCCTCTTCTCTCATTTTTTATTCTAAATTGTGACTGGAGCTAAGATTGTAACTGATGCGGGTTAGAGGTCAAAAACTGTAGCTGAAGAATTGGTTCCCTTCGTTCAGATCCTGGCTCTGCTACTTAATTAACTGACGCTGGGCAAAGCTGCTCAGCCCCTCTCCACCTCCATCCCTTCATCTGTAAAATAATAATATTATCTACCGCACAGGATTTGGAATGATGACAAGTGAATATATGTAAAGTACTAAGTATAACGCCTAGCTCACAGCAAACCCTCAAATGAAGGTTAACTATTATTACTATTCAGTGCTGTTTTTCTCATTGCAAATACTGTATAGTGGAATTCAAACTTAGAAAACCGAAGAGCACTTCTTTTAGGGATTTCAGTTGTCTTGGTGAATTTCAGAAGGTTTTGATAAGTATTTATACTTTGGTAGCTCATCAAATTAAGTTTTATCAATTCTTTATTTTTTTAATGCTTAAAAGAACTGCACACAAGCATTTACTTTTGGACAGCTGAATATTTCAAAGTTGAAAAGCAATAGAAAAATAGCACCCAAAAAGTAATTTTTTTTTCACTGGAGTTTACATTTGGGCTGAGGAATGAGATACTCATGTTGTTTAAATGGGTTTTCCTTTCCCTAGGAAATGGTAAATAGTTTTCAACAGCAGTGCTTTAAGTTAAGGATATATTTCAGAATTACTTTTTTTCCTTCACAACAAAACTACCTTTTGTGTGAACTGCAGCATTTTCTCTTCCTGGTTTATACTTAATTTTAACATTTTTCAAACTCATTTAGGATAAAAGAAAAGAAAATGCAAACCATAGTTACAGAAACTGCAATATAAATCCATTAAAATGGAAGTATTTTTATGAAGCAGACAGTTGAATATACTGGTCACATTTCTTCCTAGTACCTTTAACAATTACAGAGGAAACATGGTACATTTAACCATTCTATGCTTCTAACAATTCTCTGGCAGCCAAGTGAATGGAAATAGAGTGAATGATAGCAATTGGGGGCACCTTTTCACAGTTTACGATTGTATGACACAATGCTATTTCTTCTTAGGCCCTCATGACATTCTTCAATAAAGTGATAGCCAATGAATCAAAAAACCGAATGAGTATGTGGAATATTTCTACGGTGATGGCACCAAACCTTTTCTTTAGTAGAAGTAAACACTCTGATTATGAAGAATTACTGTTAGCAAATACCGCGGCCCACATCATCCGCCTAATGCTTAAGTATCAGAAAATTCTGTGGAAGGTGAGTGACATTGTGATGACAGGTTCCCCTCGGAAGTCCATGGCCTCAGGAAACATAAAGGCTCCATGATTGGGTGACCCCCTTGGTTGTAGGGAAGAAACATGGGAAGATAAGCCCAGGTTGCTGTGACGTCCTTACACCTTCTGGAAGGGCTGCTCTTTAACATGATTTCCCTTTGAAACAAGGATCCTCATAACTTTTTCTAAACTTTATAAGGATGGTGCCACCGTTCCTGGCTCCAGGATACCAAGTGGCTGGGAGGAGTTTCCATACCTGAAGACAGAATCTGCCAGGGAGGTTGAATTCAAGTGTTTTTCTTCCAGTCCAAGCTATTTTTCTTCTCCAGGTTCCATCTTTCTTAATCACTCAAGTAAGAAGAATGAATGAAGCCACGATGCTGTTAAAGAAGCAACTCCCGAGTGTCAGGAAGCTGCTCCGGAGGAAGACCCTCGAGCGGGAGGTAAGACCAGGAACGAGGCTCTGCGATTGTCCACTGCCTAGGTTTGTACTCCTCTAAGGGAGGCACAGAGTAGCTTGTCATTTAAAACTAAATGTTTTATATTCTCTAGGACCAGGGAGTGTGGTAACTATAAATGTTGTGGAAAGTGGGCCTGTAACAGAGTACCGTGGTCTTTGCATCGTGTTGAGTTACGCGCTTTTTGGTTAAAGTTCTTTAAATATCTCAGTCAGGAAGATTGTTTGATATCCCACCAGAAGGGCTAGAATGGTTCTTGCAAAAGCTGAAAGTCAACATTTTAGTCCCTGTCAACTCGATTTAAGGACAATCCAGTATTCGAATGTCTAATACTTGGGAAAAGAGATTTCTTCATTGATTGGATAGTTAATGAATAGCTAATCCTTAAATTATTTTGTGTAAATTCATTGCATTCCAAGGAATTTGGAGTTTTAACACAGTTATTTGTATGGAGGCACGTAATGGAAACAAGTTTTAGAAGAATTAGTTTTATGGCTTTTATTTAACTTGAGGATAATCATGAGTAGCAGATATTGCATTCAACCTTGAGGAGGGTGTGAAGATACTTGAAATTTACTTAGCCCTCAGAAGAACTTATACCCAATGTGGGAAACAAATGTATATGAGAGCCCCAAGGGCCCAGCTATACCAGGGCCGTGCAGAGGACAAGGAAATGTGCTCTAGTGTGGGAGACTGGATTTCTTTTTCTTTTTTTTTTTTTTTGGAGATAAAGAGTCTCGCTCTGTCACCCAGGCTGGAGTGCAGTGATATGATCTCAGCTCACTGCAACTGCAGCCTCTGCCTCCCAAATTCAAGTGATTCTCCTGCCTCAGCCTCCTGAATAGCTAGGATTACAGGCATGCGCCACCACACCCAGCTAATTTTTGTATTTTTAGGAGAGTAGGGGTTTCACCATGTTGGCCAAGCTGATCTCAAACTCCTGACCTCAGGTGATCCACCTGCCTCAGCCTCCCAAACTGCTAAGATTACAGGCATGAGCCCCTGTGCCCAGCCTGGAGCTGCACTTCTTTTTATAGAGTTAGAGTCTTGCTCTGTCATCCAGGCTGGAGTGCAATGGCACCATCATTGCTCACTGCAACCTCAAACTCCTGGGCTCAAGCGATCCTCCTGCCTCAGCCTCTCCAGTAGCTAGGACTACAGGTGCATACCACCACACCTGGCTAATTTAAAAATACTGTAGAGACGGGGTCTTGCTACATTGCCTAGGCTGGTCTTGAACTCCCTGCCTCAAACGACCCTCCCACATCAGCCTCCCAAATTGCTAGGATTACAGATGTGAGCCACTGTGCCCGGCTGGAGTTGGATCTTGAAGGATGGATATCACTGTGAAAGGAGAAAGGAGAGAAGCTTAATCCAGGGAAAAGGACAGTGAATGCCAAGGCAGTGGGGTGGGAGGGAGTGTTGTCAATTGGTTTATCATAATCGTGATGAAAAACGGTATTCGCTGACTGATGATAGGCAAAGTGACTTCATATCAAGTAGAACCAGTACTTTTATTTAGAAATGAAATTTTAAACAACTTGTTTTGAGTGAATAATCACATAATTAAAATTCATGATTCTAAGCATTTTAAATTGTGCCAATTCAGTGCGTTTTAGTATATTCATAATGTCCTGCAACCATCACAGTAGACACGGTTTACATTTGCTCTTTGAACATATTTAAAATAGCTTATTTGAAGGCTTTCTCTTCTTTCTGGTTTTGAGATGGAGTTGCCTTCTTGTTGCCCAGGCTAGAGTACATGATCTCGGCTCACTGCAACCTCCACTTCCCAGGTTCAAGCAATTCTCCTGCCTCAGCCTCCTGAGTAGCTGGGATTGCAGGTGCCCACCACCATGCCCGGCTAATTTTTTTTATTTTTTGTGGAAACAGTGTTTCACAATGTTGGCCAGCCTGGTTTCAACCTTCTGACCCTCAAGTGATCTGCCTGCCTTGGCCTCCCAAAGCATTAAGATTACAGGCGTGAGCCACCACACCCAACCTGAAAACTTTTTCTAGTAAGTCCAATGTCTGGACTTCCTTAGACAATTTCTTTAGAAACTCTTGCTTTTTCTCCTTGTGTATGAGCAATATTTCCCTGACTTTTTTACCTAACAGCTGTTTGTTAAAGACTGGACATTTTGAATACTGTAATGTGTCATCTTTGGAAATCAGATTCTTCTCCCTCCTCAGGGTTTGTTGCTTCTGCTCTTTTACCTATTGTTTGTTTTCTTCATGACTTTTCTCCTGAACTGATTTTGTAAAGTCTATATTCTTTGTTTTGCGTGGTTATGCAAGTCTATGTTCCGCTAGGTCAAGGATAGCTAATGATTAGACAGAAATTCTCTTAAATGCCTGGAACTAAAAAACTTCCTAGTCTTTGCAGATGAGCAGTGTGTGTGTGCTGGGGCACACCTTTGGCACTCAGCCAAGCAGTTTCTTCTAACCCTGCCTGAGCCCTCGCTTCCTGCTTGCACAGAGCCTGAGGATCGGCCAGAAGTTTATGTTTTCAGCTCTTTCTCAATCATAGGGCCTTCTATATTCTCAGGGTTACGTTAAAACTTTTTACAGCCTTAATTTTCCAAAGCTTCTCAACCTCCAGCCTTGCCTCCCAAGCTTGTTCATTATGTCTTGTTTTCCTCAACTCCGATCCACTGCATCAGGCAGCTGTGACAAAAACATTTGCCTGTAAACGTTTTTGACATTACGCCCCTTTAGCGCCCATCAAGTTCCAAATTAGTCAAGGTAAAGGCAAGCCTTTTGAGCCAGTCTTCAAGGGAGCCACCAGACAGATGAGACCAAGTCATTAGAATTCTTGAGTGAGGTCCATTCTGCTCCCTGCAGTACCCGGGCCAGAAATGCAGGCTGTTCTTTTCAAGGCTATCCCTGAACTAGAGAGCAGGGATGGAAAAGTGTATGTTAAAATGACATACAGCTTTCTCTTGCTTAAGCGCTCCCCTAGTTGATGCCTTTGAATTTGTATCCAGAGTTCTAAGAGTCGATACTGACAGTTTTTGCCAGTTCATCCATTGCTTTTATGGAGGCGCAGACTTTTTGAGTTTGTCACTCTGCCATTTTCACTCTGGAAAACCATAACGGTATAATTAAATGTGTGGAACAGAGGTCAGGTCAGGCCTTGCCAGTGACTACCAATACAAACCTGGACAAACTACATTCTTTCTTTGAGCCTCAATGTTCTTATCTTATAAATCGGGAGGAAAGACAGATATGATCTATCTGTTTCACAGAGCTGTCATCAGAATGGACTCACATGATGTGTATGTGTGTGTATAAACTGTACATTGCTATACAAATGTCACTTTAATATTTTATTGTAAATAAAACCAAGATAGAATGTAAAGATTATAAATACCATAGAAGCAAACACTTAAAGACAGTCTTTCTTTCATATTATTGTACTATATTGTGTTTTTAATTCTTAATTTTGATTGGAATGGACAGTTCATTACCAAGTTATAAATTTAGAAGTCAGGAAAGACCATAGAATAAAACTTAGTCACCTCTGACTTCCCCTCCTGGAGACAAATAGTATCACCAATGGCAGGGTGTGTGCACAGGAAGATGCAGGTATATAAACCTTCTGAGATGCTGTATCCACTTACCAGCAAATGTGAATGTATGTTCTTTCCACTTTAACAGGAATGTGGCTTACAGGAAACACTGTCCTGGGTCTGCTTTACTGACTTAACAAATCTTGGGGGATTATTTTATATCAGTCCACAAAGCCCGCACCTTTGTCTCTCTGCTTCTTTTGTGTGCTATTCCACAGATACACAATAAGTTATTTCAGTAATCTCATATTGGTAAACGGCTTGTGTCTACTCTTTTGCTGTTACAATCTGTGCATGAGATCTATATACATGATTGTTCACAAATGAGGTATATTTGTGGGATAAATGTATAGCTGTGGAATTGTTGGATTAAAGTGTATGTACATTTTTTAATTTTATAAATATTGCCAAGATGTTTTCCATAAAGATTGTACCAGTTTACACTTCCAAAAGCAGCATATGCTTGTTTTCCCAACATTACTCATAAAGACTGTGCTTCCTCTTAGACTACAAGCCCCAAGACTTCAAAGGTACTGCAAAAATCGCCCTCAGCAAGAAGAATGGTAAGAAAAATAATTTCCCTTCTCTTCCATTAAATCCCTATATAGTCTTCTGTGGCCACATGCACCACATTTATGTCTAATTTTGGTCCTGATCTATCCTTCAAACTTGACATTCTCAATGTGCCACATAAAGGAATCATAGAGGGACCTGACTAGCTGATGATTCAGAATGCATGCCTGGGTCTCCTATAGACAGCTACAATGCTGTGGAAAGTTATAGGAGGAATGAGATTATTATGATCATTGGTCAGTAATGTCAGAGTGTGCAATGTATTGTCTGGGGAGCTGGATGAAATAGGACGTAGAAGATCAGGGCGTACTTTAGGAGTACAATCTTGGCTGCAGTGAGCCCGGGACTTTGCCCTCACCCAGATCCAAAGCCCTCAGCACCTTTTCCTGAACTGCTGCTCTCCTGGTCCTTGCTGATAATATTAGGAGAATTCTGTAAGGACTGACTCTGGTCTAAAATATTTTGTGTTGGTTCCCTAGGGCTGCCAAGGCACCACAAACGAGGTGGCATAAAACAGTAGACATGTATGATTCTTTCACAGTTCTTGAGGCTGAAAGTCCAAAGTCAAGGTGTCAGCAAGCTTGGCACCTTCTGAGGGCTGTAAGAGAAGCACTGCTTCTTGCCCCTCTTCCTCGCTTTTGGCAATGCCAGTCTCATCCGGTCTCAGCCTCCATCTTCACATGGCATCCTTTCTTGAGTCTCCATGTCTCTTCTCCTCTTATAAGGATGCAAGTCACTTGGATTAAGGGCAGTTTAGACCTCATATGTAATGGCCTCATCTTAACTAATTACATCTGCAATGACCTATTTCCAAATAAGGTCACGTTTCAAGGTACCGGGGGGTTAGGGCTTCAATTTTTCTTTTGGGGAGACACAGTTCAACCCATAACATATTTCTTCTAGGGTATCAATATTCTATTGATACAAAATGACTCTAGGGAGTCCATTTATATAAACCTTCTACATCAACAGCACCATCCTTTGAGAAGGTAGATTTAAGAGACTCCATCTTTCCCACTGCCATCTACACTGCTCTGCACAGTGTCTTCAGCACACTTTGAGGGGTCCCATTTCAAGTGCCCACAGGGAATTGAATTTGGGCCAGCCATTCATGGCTGCTAACTAAAGAAAGAGGGTATTGGAGAAGCCATATTTTTAATTTGACTCTTAAATTTTTCAGAAGGTCGATATTCTTAAAATATATTGAAGTACAGGATTCTGCTTAAAGCAGGGTCAGTTAGGACTTTGTTCAAGAAATGCATTGATAGAAATGTTTGATTTTTGTCATAGCCCAGTTTTTCCCCCTCATGATTTGAAGGCATTATAGCAAGACCTGACCAAGTATAGTAAAAATAAAATACCAGTTTAGTCATGAGTGAGTCTCCAGGTGAGAAAGAAAGCAGTGTTCCATTCTGGTTACGTGTTTTCCTAATTCGGAGTAGCACTGATTTTCATACATCTTAAGTACATCATTGAGCTGATATTCATCCCAGTTTGACAGAATGTATTGCATTTCTCCTCCTTGGCAGTCTGACGTGCCGGAAGGAGTCATACGAGTCCATGCTCCACTTCTCTCCAAGGTGTCCATGGCCATTCAACTCAACAATCAAACCAAAGCCAAAGACATACTGGCAAAGTTTCAGTATGAAAACAGGTGAGTCAACGTGAATGAAAGTCTCTGCACGGGAAGGAAAACCTTTATCAGATGAATAACTTTTAGGCATTTACAAATTTGACCTTTCGTAAAATATAGAATCTGTTGTTTTAGGGAGTTTACCAGTGGATTACTAGAATAAAAAGCAGAGAATGAAGTTAGTAGACATAAGATTGCTAACAACAAAAGTTATTTTTCTTTTTTTTTCTTTTTTTTGAGACAGAGTTTCACTCTGTCACCCAGGCTGGAGTGCAATGGCACAATTCTCGGCTCCCTTCACTTCACAGAACCTCCACTTCCCAGGTTCAAGCGATTTTCCTGCTGCAGCCTCCCAACTAGCTGGGACTACGGGTGTACACCACCACGCCCAGCTGATTTTTGTATTTTTGGTAGAGACGCGGTTTCACCGTGTTGCCCAGGATGGTCTCGATCTCTTGACCTTAGGATCCGCCCACTTTGCCCTCCCAAAGTGCTGGGATTACCGGCATGAGCCACTGTGCCCAGCGAAAGTTGTTTTTCAAAGGAATTTCTACAAATGGAATTCTTAATGGGTATTGTCTATCTTGGTAGCTTCATTTATTCAGTGAGTTTTACCTTTTATTCATTCATGTATGTATTTATTTATTTACTGGACAGAGTTTTGCTCTTTTTGCCCAGTCTGGAGTGCAATTGCATGATCTTGGCTCACTGCAGCCCTGCCTCCTGGGTTCAACTCAGGAGGCTGCATGCCTCCCAAGTAGCTGGAATTACAGGTGGGCACCACCACAACCAGCTAATTTTTTTTTTTTTTTGCATTCTTATTAGAGACAGGGTTTCACCATGTTGGCCAGGCTGGTCTTGAACTCCTGACCTCAGGTGATCCACCCACCCCGGCCTTCCAAAGTGCTGGAATTACAGTTGAGCCACCGTGCCTGGCCAAGCTTTAACTTTTATTAGAATGAAAATATAGCAAGTTAGTTTTGTAGATAACTTGATAGTCCTTCAGGAATAACATTTTCCTAGGCCTGCATTGGCTTTAACATGCCTATATCAGATAGAGTTTATGTAGTTAAGTGGATATCATAGCTATTACTTTCCTTAAAACATACTACTAATAATTCTTAGAATCAGAATAATACTTACAAAAATTATTTTTGCAAATCTGCCGTAGTCACCTTAATGGGGCACACAGATCATAATTTTTGCCTGGACATGTGTACTCAAGAACAAACATTTGTCTTCTGGTTTTTAAATGGTGAGAAACACTCGATTATTCGTTGTAGAGCGTGTATGATTTGCTGCCTCTAGTAAGACTCTGATGGATGGCCTTAAAATGAAGCATTCCAATCATGTTGAAAAGTGGTGGCCTTGTTGAGCAAAAAAGCCAAGTGTAAAAGTTAACATACTGCATGATTCCATTTATTTAATATTTTTGAGATTAAATTTTACTGATAGAGGATAGATTAGTTGCCAGTGGTTAGGAGGGATGATTTGGAAGGGAGACAGTTTTGGTTATTAAAGGCCAACATGAAGGACCCTTGGTGTTGGAACTTGTGGTGTTGGCATCTTGACTGTGGTGAGGGATAACTGACCCTCTGTAAAATTCTACTGAAATTAATATATACACACACACATACAAATGAGTACAAGTAAAACTGGGAAATCTAAATAAGATAGGTAGATTATATCAATATCAGTATCCTGATTGTGGCATTATGCTGTAGTTTTGTGAATTGTTACCATTGGGAAAAATGACAGAATACAAAGAGTCACTCTGTATTATGTCTTACAACCACATGTGAATCTACAGTTATCTCAATAAAAATTTAAAGTAAAAGAAAAACAAATAGCCAGTAAAAGTCATCTATGGTGTGAGGTCAGGATGGTAGTTTTTCTACCATCAGGGGTAATGGAGGCAGGGGCTGGTGGAAGGCATAGTGACCAGTAAGCCATGCTGATAGCCTCCAGAAGTTTTTTTTTTTCTTTTGGTACTGGTGCAGACTATATGATGTGTTAATTTTGTGAACATTCATCAAGTTGTACACTTATGACTTGTGCATTTTGTGTATAATATATACACACACATTAACCTGTTTCCCACTTGCCCCAAGAGTACTGCACTGGCAGTTAGCTGTACTTTCTTTCCTAAATGGAAAATGGGTTGAAAAAGAAAAAGAAAAGTAGATAGAGGCCAACAGGAGCCCCAAACATGTATTCCTGTTTGCTATTGGACTGGACACCTCCATGTAGGCAGTCATATAGAGACTTGAAATATCATTCAATGGATTTGGATATCCAGTAGACTTCTAGTTGCATATATTACAAAACTGACTTTGTATTCTCAAGTAGACCTTTTGTAGAGAGAAAATATTTCTAATAAAAGTAAATTAGAACCAATAACTCAAATCTTTTATAACAACTTCTTCAAAAAATCTTGGTAACTCAGGAATGGGAAACCAAACTTCATATGCTCTCACTCACAGCTCGTAACTAAGCTATGAGGATGCAAAGGCATAAGAATGACACAGTGGACTTTGGAGACATGGGGGAAACGGGGAAGGGGTGAAGGATAAAAGACTACAAATTGGGTTCAGTGTATACTGCTCAGGAGATGGGCTTACCAAAATCTCAGAAATTACCACAAAAGGATTACCACTAAAGAAATTTACCACTAAAGAATCTACTCATGTAACCAAATACCTGTTCCCAAAAAACCTATGGCAATAAAAAAACTTTAAAAATAATAGTAATTTTTTAAAAATCTTGCCCTATCCATTCTCTTTGCTTGTTAGAACTCTGGCCTACTTCAGTTTAAGTGTTGTAAACTGGCCCTGATTTTGCACCTTTCACTAGAGGCTCATTTCTGACTGCCTGCTCACAGCCCTGTGTTTAAGTTAAAAGAGGAGGGAGAAGCCCCATTCCTTCCAGGTACTCTCCCTTACAACTGGAGCACCTTGGATAGTAACACAACAAAAAGCAGAGAAAGACTCTGAAAGGTGGAGAGAAGAGGCCTTGAGAAATGACACGGTAAGTTCTGGGAGTTTCCTTGTCACCTCCCACGTATCCAGACAGGACACTGCGGAAACTTCCAACCAGGAACTGACAGCAGGCACAGGCAAAAAAGAGCGCTAAGAAAAGCCTAGCCAAAGGATTAGCAAAAGGGGCGGCCTAACCACAGAAAACCTTTCTCGCAGTATCTGCCCTACTCCAACCAAACACCAATAGGAGAAACGGCACCACCCCAATGGTTTCAGTGGATGCAAGCAAAAATGCACCAAAATGTCCTCCTGGAAATGAAAGAGAAATAAAGACACTCTCAGATGAAGGAAAACTAAAAGATTTGCTGCTAACAAACTGACCCATAAAGGATGGCTGAAGGAAGTTCTTTAAACAGAAAGGAAATTATAACAAGGCTTAGAATATCAGAAAGGCCAGGAGAACATCAAATGGGTAAAAACAGGGCTATAAACTATCCTACTTGTCATGCATTTTTAAAATCACATTTGGTGATAGAAGCAAAAATTACATCACCTATACATTGCTCATTGTATACAGAGGACACACTTAAGACAATTACATTTTTAAATGGTGGCACACCCCCACTCCCTAAATGTGGTCTGTGCAGAATGACTTCCTTCCAAAAAAATACAGTGTGTTAAAAGGAAAAGGCAACTTTACAGTCAAGAAATCTGACCTCAATTAGGTGATCAGGTTAACATTAACAGTGATGAGTCATGTTGATAGCATCAAGGTACACCGTTGATGAGATACAATAAAAACAGCCCTTTATCTCTGTGGTCTTTCTCCCAAGAACACACAATTCCAATCTGAACATGAGAAAAACATCAGAAAAATCCTAATTGAGGAACATTCTACAAAATACCTGAGCAGTGCTCCTTGAAACAGTTCAGGTCATCAAAACTAAGGCCACTATGAGAAACTATTAGAGCAGTTGAAGGAGACACGACTACCAGTTTCCCAGTGCTGTCGTAACAAATCACCACAAATCGGTAGTTTAAAAGGTGGAAATGTATTCTCTCACAGTTCAGGAGTCCAGAAGTCTGAAATAAAGATGTCAGCAGGGTTAATTCCTTCTAAAAGCTCAGGGGAGAAACTCTACCATGCCTCCCTCATGACTTTTGGTGGTTGCCAGCAATCTTGGAATTCCATGGCTTGAGACACATCATTTCCATCTCTTCTCCCATTGTCACATCATCTTTACTCATTTTAGGTGCCCCTAAATCCAGGATGATTTAATCTCTTTAACTAATTACATCTGCAAATACCCTATTTCCAAATAAGGTCAAATTATGAACTTGTGGGTGGGCATGAATTTTGGGGGACACTGTTCAACCCCCCCATAGTTACTAAATGTAATGCGAAATATTCTGGATAGGATCCTTGAACAGAAAATGAACATTAGGTTAAAATGAAGGTAATCTGAATAAAGTATGGACTTTTGTTAATAATAATATATCAATATTGGTTCATTAATTGTAACAAATGTACTATATTAATATTAGATGTTTATAATAGGGCCATAACATCTTCACCGTTTTTCTGCAAATCTAAAAGAGTTCTAAAATTAAATATTTATTTTAAAATTGTATCCAGGATTCTACCAGTTTTTAAAAACTACCCTTTTCAATGGTAAAGTTATTTCAGAGTAAAATAGGCAAAATTTAGTTATGCCAGAATATCAGGATTCTCTTTCTATTTTAAAAATGAAATCTGTGCATGCATCAGTGGGCCTCCTTTAACTTAGGTGATTTTGAATTCAAATAACTGACAATAGAATTATCACACTCATTTGAATGGCTACTATCTTAAAAAAAAAAAGAAAGAAAGAAAGAAAATAACTGCTGGTAAGGATGGGAAGAAATTGGAAATCTTGTGCACCACTGGTGGGAATATTAAGTGGTACAGCCACTGTAGAAAACAGTATGATGACTGCTCAAAAAATTACAAATAGAATTACCATATGATCCAGCAATTCCACCTCTGAGTTCACGGCCAAAAAA